TAGCTTTTAGTACTAATATAGACTAAATAAAGAAAATCTTTCTCTTTTATAGAATTAAAATTAGAAAGATCTTCTATAATTTTAATAGTTTTCTTTAGTAATTAAAGCTCTAGATACCTTAGCTATATATACTAAATACTTACTAATTATAATAGATCTTTATAAATCTTAGATATTTATAATAGAGATCTAATAGTACTAATAGTTCCTTATATTAGAGCTTCTTTAGTATTAAAGTTAGAATAATCTCCTTCTAAAGGCTTTTATACTAGGATCTTAGTAGATATCTTAATAGACTATTTAGTAAGCTTAGTAAGCTTACTAAGCTCTATAAAGTCTAGAGCTTTAGAGATCTAGCTAGAGATCTTAAAGGGAATTTAAATCTTTATTAAAATATACTATTTAGTAGGCTTAATAAGTTCTTTAGTAAACTATTTAGTAAGCTTAGTAAGCTTATTAGACTTTATAAAGTTTAGAGCTTTAGAGATCTAATTAGGGGTTTTAAAGAGAATTTAAATTTTTATAGAATAGCTATAGTTTATATAGATAGAGAGCTCCTTAGATATTATAAACTTAGAGATCTTTTACCCTTTTAACTATAAGTAGAAGCTATATTTTTTAAAGTTTAGTAAACTATAATAGATTTTATTATTTATAAATAACTATTATTTTAGAAAGATATCTTCTAAATTATAATATCTTATTCTACTAACTATATTAATCTCTAGAGTAAATAGAAAAAAAGCTTTTTTTAGCTCTAAATCTCTATAGATTAAAGAGTTCTAAAAGATTAGAACTTAAAATATAATAGTTCTAATATCTATAAAGTAGATTTTATTAATAACTATTAGAATATAATTTATCTTAGAGTACTTTAAAGCTTTATAATCTCTATAATAAACTCTATTATTTACTAAGTATACTATAAAGTCTATATTATATAGAAGGGTATTTAGTAAACTATATTTCTAACTACTAAAGTTAGTAGTAATAAAAGCTATTATAATTTTAATAGATTTAGAGAGTTAATAGATTTAAAAAACTAATTAGAAGCTCTCTTTATTATTATCTTCTAATAGGCTTTAAAGATCTTTTAAATTATAATTTAGAGTAAAGCTAGTAGATTTAACTAGCTTTTCTTTAGAAACTTTAGATTTAAACCCCTTTTATTAGATCTTTCTCTTAAAGAACTTTTTAAAGCTTAGAAACTTCTTTTTAGTAGATTTTTTAATATACTTAGTTCTATAATTTATAATCTTAGTTACTAAAGAGCTCTTATTATATTATTCCTTTAGAAGGTTTACTATAAGGAACTATAAGTTCAGAGACTCTAGAGAGCTTCTAGAGGTTTTAATAATTCTAAGATTATTTTATTAGTACTTAACCTATTATAGAAAAATCTCTTTTAGAGCTTCTAGATATTAATTTATCTAATCTATAGGAACTATAGTAATCTTAACTAGTAATAGTCTAATTAGAAGATTATTAAATATACTATTAAAAGCTTCTAATAAATCTTTAAAGTTCCTATAATAAAGTTTATAAAATTAAATATATAAATAGTTATACTAAATTTCTATATTATAAAAGAACTATTTAATTAATAACTTATAGATCTCTATAGAGAAGATCTATTAAGTTATAGTAGCTTATAGATTCTCTATATAGCTATCTTTTAATAGTATAAGTAAAATAGTCTAATCTAAATCTAATAGCTATTAGATTATAGTAAGATTTATTATAAATAGTAATAATCTAAGAACTCTAAATTAGATCTCTAGAGTTTATTTTTACTAATTAAAGTTATAGGATTTTTATAATTTAAAAGCTTTAGAGAACTTATAAACCCTTTTATTAAAATTCTTAATAATAGAATCTTTAAAGATTCTAATTAAGAAATTAGAGCTTTAAGAGCTCTATAAGATAAGCTATTAAGTAGTATTAGTAATACTAAAAGCTAGTTAACTAGTACTAATAGTACTAGAGATCTATTATAACTATAATAAATTTATAGTAATTATAAACTATTAAAGGGTTTACTATATAGTAATAATAACTTTAATAATATTTAAATTCTAAAGACTCTAAGTAATAATAGTATTATTTATTATAAGATCTAAAGAAATAGTATTAATAGTACTAAAGTTTACTAGTTAATTCTATAAGCTCTAAGTAATAATAATATTCTCTACTATAGAAATAATACTAGTAGTACTAAAAGAGTTTAATTAGCTAGTTATAGTAATAGTACTAGCTATTAGAATAACTACTAAAGAAAGATAGATTTTAATATCTTTAGAAATTAATCTCTCTATATAGCTATCTTTATTAGTTATTTTAGATCTTCTTTAGTAAAAAAAACTATTAAAATCTAGATTAAAATATAGAGTAAGTTAAAAGACTTTTTTAATATAGGGTAAAAGCTTTTAAATCTAAAGATAAAGCTCTTTCTTATTAAAGTAGATAAGAACTAAGTTTATAATCTTTTAAAAGATTAAGATCTCTAATATAAAATAGACTAGTTATAGAATAAGCTAGATCTAGAGTAGATATAATCTATAGGGTAGATTAAGAAATACTAAAGGGATTATTTTAAAAGATATAGTAGAAGAAGTAATTTACTTAGTAAGAAAGAGAGATTTTATTAGCTATAGAATAGCTAAGAAAATAAACTATAGAGTAAATAAAAGAGTAAATTAATAGTTTAAAGAATCTCTATTTAATAGGGAGAAAGCTCTATACTTATAGATATTTTAGAGCTTTAAAAGCTCTAAAGATAATATATTATCTTTTATAATATAGACTTATAATTACTATAAGGTTCTTATATAGTAGATATAAGATCTATTAATATAAATACTATAGTAGATATAAAGTCTACTAATATAACTACTATAGTAGTTATAAGGTTTATTAACTAAGTACTAAGGTTTTTATATAGTAGATATAAGATCTACTAATATAAATATTATAATAGATATAAAAACTACTAATATAGCTACTATAATAGATATAAGAACTATTAATATAGCTACTATAATAGATATAAGAACTATTAATATAGCTACTATAGTATAATATAAAATTACTATTATAGTTACTATAGTAGCTATTATAGTAGTTATAACTACTAATATAATTACCCTAATAAGCAGTTATAGTAGACTAGGCTAGTAGCTTTAGTAAGCTTCTAGCTTTAGAAAGCCCTAAGTTAGTTATTTTATTCCTTCTTACCCTATACTAATCTAAGATTATTTAATTAACTAATATAGGGTAACCTGATCTACTCTATAGTCTATAGGGTAAATCTCAATATAACCTAAGGTCTTAATATAAATATAAAAGGAATAGATTACTACTCTCTCTTCTCTTCTGATCTCCTCTTCTATATACTATTTCAGAATATTAGTAAATAGGGAGCCTTTAAGTCTGCTAGTAATTTACCTGCTAGTAAATTACCTTACTAGTTAAAAGCTATTTAAGAGGAAGAAGCTAACTTAGAAGGAGCTAACTTAGAAGGAGCTAACTTAGAAGGAGCTAACTTAGAAGATATAATCTAAGGCCTTAATATAAATATAAAAGGACTAATATTACTATTCTCTCTTCTCTTTTAATCTTCTCTTCTATATACTATTTCAGAATATTAGTAAATATCTTAAAGCCTATAATAATACTTTTAGTAAAAACTATAGCTAGTAATATCTCTCTCTCTCTCTCTCTCTTTCTCTCTCTCTCTCTAGAGCCTCTTATCTTACTAATAGTATATATAGCTAAAATAATAAACTATAAAATAATAATCCTTAGATATAAAATAATCTCTTAACCCTTCTCTAATCTCTTCTCTCTTCTTCTTAAAGCTATAATAATAAGCTACTATAGAAAATATCTCTATAGTAGTTTTATCTATTATCTTATAATAATACTATAGTTAGCTAAGATACTAATTAAATAGCTTATTACTATATAATAGTACTATAGTTAGTTAAAATATCTATTAAGTAATAGCTTTCTTTTTATAATAGCTCTTTCCTATAGATAAGAATTATAAGAGGGAACTATCTTATAATTAATTTATATAGATTATTAAAGTATAATCTCTATAGCTCTTATAGCTCTTATAGATAACTATAGAGCTAGTAGAGATAATCTAATAAGATTATCTAGTAAAATAGTATATAGTAAATAATATATTAATTATATATAATAAGTAGTAAAAAGAAAAAGTTATTTATTATCTATAATATATAAAAAACTAAGCTTTAACTTATCTAGAGAAAGATATTCTTAAACCTATATAAACCCTCTATACTTTATATTCTATTTCTTATATTAAATTAATTAAATCTACTCTTTATATAAAGATTCTATAAGAGATTTAAACTTTAGCTCTTTAGATCTATTTATAATTAGAAGAGAAATAATTAGTAGTTAATATATAGTTATTAATTATACTATTATAAGATTTATATCTATACTAATAGTAGAAGAATAAGTATAAAGATTATATATAAGGTTATTATAAGATCTAGATCAGAAGGAACTATAGAGGTTAGAAATTAAGATTATATAATCAGATAGCTTTTAGTTAGTATTACCTATAGGGGTATATTAGAAGATAGAGAAATTCCAGCTAGTTAATTAGGAAGTATAGATTAGAAACCCAGTATATACCCCTATCTCTATAGACCCTAGTAAAACCTAGGAAAGTAACTTCCCGCTATTTATATATCTCAGGGGCCTAGGCTACCTGAGAATACAGATATCAGCCACCTATAACACGCTCAATACAACCAATTATCTGACAAATGTGCGCATATCTCGCACTGTGTCTCAGTTGGTGTTCATCTTTCCAGCCCGAGTCCGTCTTCTGGTGTAGCGGTAACGGCAATCTCACCACAAAGCGATAGCAATCTCACCACCAAGGTCGCAGCCTCTCCAGTTTGGCAGACCTGAATCAACGCTCCCTCGCTCTCCAAGTCCTTAACACTTGACATACGGCCATGGCCCCGCGTATCTCTTGGGTTCTTGTCCCGCTGGCTGTCGCTGCAAGCCTGGCCTGGTTTGCAGGCGACGTCCACTCACCCAAAACGATCCCTTCCTCGATAGATCTCCTGACCCTCACGGCCCGAGATGTCGCGGAGCTCCTCAACAACCAGACATTCACCTCACTACAAGTCACGCAGGAGTACCTGCGGCGTATTGATCTCGATGACAGGTCTGGGCTTGGGCTTCACACGATGCTCGAGGTCACGCCTCGAGCTATTGCGCTCCACGTCGCCAGCGAGAGAGACCAAGAGCGACGCAAAGGCATCATCCGCAGCCCACTGCACGGGGTACCTGTACTTCTGAAGGCATGTATCATTCGCTGGCAGCGATATGCTTGCGCTGACACCTTTCCGAAAGGGAAACATGGCGACTGATGAGTCGCTTGGCATGAAGACCACTTCCGGAGCATATGCCTTGCGGAACGCAACGGCCAGACGCGATGCCTTTATTGTTAAGAAAGCGAGAGAAGCAGGCTTGGTTGTGATCGGCAAAGCCAACCTGGGGGTATGTATACACTAGGGAGTCGGGCACCTGCCTTTCTCTCTTTCTCTCTTTCTTTTTTATTGTTTAGAATTTGATCGTCTGACATCATTCGATAGGAACTCAACGGTTTCAAGTATGGTAGCATTCGGCTCATCGTGTCACAGCATTTACCACATCGCTAACTTACGTGTAACTTCAGGGACAACAACCTCAGTCCGGGCTGGTCACAGCTCGGTGGTGAAACTCTTTCACCCTACGATCTAGAACACCCTTGCGGGTCATCCGCTGGACCAGTCGCCGCCGTTGCAGCCGGGTTTGCACCTCTTGCCCTGGGGACTGAGACACAAGGATCCATCAGCTGCCCAGCATCATTTACGGCGCTGTATGGATTGAAGGTCTCTACAGGTCTTCTCTCGCGGAGCGGAATCCTCCCATCCTCGACGACCTTCGACTCGCCTGGTATCCTGGCGAAATCGGCGTGGGACGTCGCCGCACTGTTGAACGAAATTGTTGGCGTTGATCCGGAAGATGCAGTTACGAGCGACTCAGAACCATTTCTCAGAAACTTCACCGCTACCCTCGATGCCAACTGGCGTGATTTCCGGATTGGCGTGGCCGACAGAGAATGGTTCTGGTCCATTCTTCCAGGCTTCATCGGTGATCAGGCCGACATTGATGATGAGGAAAATGTGTGATAGCCAACCCTCGTTTCGCAAATACCAACTAAACAATCTTGCAGATGTTCTCATTAGGCCTTGAGGCTGTCGCAGAAATGGAACGACGAGGGGCAGCCATCATCCCGGATGCCAAGATTCGAAGCGCTCCCCTTTCTCTTGGTCATGTCCAGAAGCTCATGGGGAAAATTATACGTATGCATTCCTCGATGATATTCCCTCTCATATATTGCCAAAACCCCGTTCTCACTCTCTTTTATATTCTTAGTTGGTAAGGCTAACACTGAGTGTGACCCAGGACACGAGATGGGCCCCGGCTTTATCAAGCACACAGCATACCTAGATGGCATCCAAACCAATTCTCTCGAAGAGCTGGTTGAATTCAATCGTAAACATCCTGAGTTCTCTTACAGTAAAGGTGAGTTTATCTTGGTATCATACCTGGCTACACACACTTATCACGCTTAGCAGAGAATGCAGCTCAAGGCTACCTCGAGTCAGCACTCAATCAGCATTTAACAGATGAGGAGTATCATGCCGCTCTACAAGAAGCCAAAAAGATCGCCATCGACGAAGGCATCATCGAAACACTTGACAAGTATGACCTGGACGCGATTGTCCTGCCAGCATGGACGGAGATGAGCATCTTTGCCGCATGGGCCCGTAAGTCCCCAACAAATATGTATCCTTGGTGTTATTTCCCAAGATAAATATGAGCAAAAGTTAATATGATTTGTTGGGTTATAGAAGCACCTACCGCGACAGTACCACTGGGGAAGTATCGGGGCGGTAAGCCTTACGGCTTGGGCTTTGTAGCACGTCGCTTTGATGACGAAAAGCTACTACAGATTATGAAGTTATATGAGGACACGTTTCCCCAAAGGCTTGTTCCTCAAAGGCTGCGATGGAGAAGATGGGAGCGTATACTGCCTCGGAGCTATGTTGGTGCTCTCGCCTAGGAATTAAATAAGTTTTACTCCCTCTATAGGATTCTAGAGTAGGAAAAGGTGACTAGCTATAGAGCTGAGATGTTAAGGAGTCAATTGACTCTTTTGATGAAACACTCAGAGAGTATTCGCCGGAGGATTCAACCGAGTATCTACAATTTCAACACCTGAAACCTAGCCTATCTTAAAACAAACTATTGACCAATTAGGTTCTGTTCCAAAACTACAATAAGGACTCGCAAAATCAAGGTACATATCCAAGGCCAAGACGCATCGAGAACCACATTGACAAGCCAATTCCTGTTCCTTCCCAAGACGAAAGCTCTGCCAAGGAGCATGGGATCCTATACGGCGCCTACCTTTGACGACGTGAAGCTCGATCCCGTATCGATCACTCTCCTAGATATCAGGGATAAAAAGCATAGAGGCCTGGTTAGCCCAGCCATAAAGCCAGCCCCAAGGACAAGAGTCCTGGGAAGTGGGCCCAAACGGATGTGGTCGCGTAAATGAACTTCCAAAATGAAGTTTCAATAGTCTGCGGTCGATAATAAGTGATATGAACTAAACAAGAAAGTATCTACTTTCTATTTTACCAAACGAAATTTGCTCGGCTTCGACTCCATTCTCTCTTCCCAGTTTTCCCACGCCTCCGAGCTCTCCCCGGCCGCTGGTAACTTTCTAAGCTGTATTCTCCTCGAAAATACGACAAGCCCAAGTCGGTGTTGCCATCAATCACGCACTGAAGTGCGACCAACAATCGCTCCTCATCAAAGAAATCTATTTTCATACGATGGAGCCACTCGGACACCAACTGGAGTAAGTCCCTATCAATGATAGCTCCTCTCTTAATGAAGAGTTGTATAACTGGCAGCCACTGCCACCCAGCAGTTTCCGAATCGTGGCAGCAGTCTGCGACTACCGTGACCGGATCATCGATACATCGTTGTAAAAGATTCTGTTTTTGGATTGGCACCCAGGTCAAGAAGGACTCATACTTCTGCAAGCTTGAGGTCGACAGTAATTAGCGAAAAGAGGCCATTGCATAGCGGCTGCTGTCGAGCTGGCCGTGCTTGGAAACAACACCTTGTATACAGACGATCTTCTCAGCCGAGATGATTCGGATCTTCTTACTTCACCAATGGGGAATTCACTAATGTCTCTATGCTGCGAGTTTTAGTCTAGCGACCAGCACTCTGGCGGATGCTTTCGCCCGAGCATAGTCAACGACGCCAAGTCGAATTGTTAGCCCAAGGAGCAAATGCTGGAGCCACGGGCTATACAGTGGTGTCTGCGGCAGAACTATATAGGGACTGGAGTTGGAACGGGCCAGTCGATTCCCAGCTCGGAGCGCCTTGTGCCGGTGATGCCGACATCAATCAGTCGCTGAGCTGCGGATGTGAATCTCGCCTAGCGGGAAATTGATGTGCCAGTAAATGCGAGGGGACAAGTCCCGATAGTGACAAATCCTCCCCCACACAAATGTGTCTTTTTGGCGTTCACTCCTACGTGGTTTAAACGCCTTGTGCCGGGTGGCTTTTTCGTCACGCGTGGTAGGTTTCATTTCGAGGTAGCAATGAGTGAAATATTACCTTCTCCAATCATTCGACACGAATGCAAAAGCCTCTTTCCGGCAGATTGATGCATTTAATTGGATGCGAGCTGATTTTGAGCGAACCGGTTCGCCAGGCACCTCGTTGCCTTACCGCACCCACCGGCATCGTCTACATACTTGCGGATCGTGATTCGTGGATAGATACAATGATAATACCAAATTGCCGCCGCTAGCAAAGATGCCTAGAACTTCGCCTCGACTCTTATGCAGGTACTTTTGTGGCTCATGAGATTGTCTGCCCCAAAAGTCGATGCGCTCCTTTTACATCCCGTTGGTTCGGAGTTGGAGAGCCTTTCACTTGGCTCCTATGTTTCCAAGAAATAACTTCCCAGAGTCATCTCTTTCACGCCGCGAATGATTTGTGACCCGAACGACACATTCTCGAGAGATTTACTTCGTCAAGATGAATCCGCTCTCCTTCACTGCCTCGGCTTTGACAGTGATCCAAGCCGCTGATGTCGTATGCTGGCACCCTGAACTTTGAGTAATTCCTTCTACAACACGAATCTGAACACTAACAAGTATTGAATTAATGTGACAATCGGGGTTGGGACATTTGTAAACTCGCTACGAACCATTGATTCACGCTTGACGGGTCTTTACGATGAACTTTCGGATTTCCAAGGCAATCTTCAGACGATTGAAATCACGCTCATAGGTTGTAAGGACATTGATCTCAGTCTGATCGATGATGTGATATGGAATCAAAGCGAAATCGCCATTGGCAATTGCCAAGCTACAGTCAAGGATCTGGCCAGACTGGTAGAGAAGATCAAAGAAGTATCAAGACCTGGGACAATAGGATGGAAAGTCCAAGCCGTTTTTGAGTTGAAGGTTCATGAGCGAGACTTAGCTGGCTTCCGACACAAAGTCCACCAATCTAATTCAGCTCTTCAAACCATGCTTCATATCATTGTTGTGTAAGTTGGGTACTTCTTACGTTGTGCATTACGGCTTCTGGTAGTCCCCTATGTCTCTTTCGCTGCGGCAAAATGCATCTCAAGGCCAGATTCTTACGGAACTGAATAATCTAAAACAATCGATGAACAACGCATGGAATGTTTCATCGAAACCAATCACAGGTCTACAGGACTCAACGTCCAAGGATAGACCGCACCATAACATCACACGAGACCTGCGACATTTGGCTGCAGCTGCTGAAACTTTCTACCTCACAGCGAGCTCAACAACAGGGACATTGAAAAGCGAGGACGGCAAAAGCGTATTAAACTTAGTTGTAGGTAGTTAAATAAGTGGTGCGAGAGATCTCCCTTACTTGCGGTACCAACTCCTGGAGAAATATCTCTACAATTTTCGCTCTGGGCATCTTCCTTCGGTTTCAAGCTTCCCCTCTGGACTTAGGGCTGTTGACAAAAGATCTTTCAAATCGCACTTCACAGTCGAGGGCCCAACCGCGGCAGAAACAGCGAATAACGGTACCAGAACCGTGATAAAGCACAAGCTTCGTCATACGGTTTCCAGTACTTTCGATATTCAGAAAGAGGAAGGTGATGACAATTAATTTGAAGATGTCGTCTTAGCGGGAATGAGAGTGCTGGCAATTGAAAGTATTAAAGCGCTAGACTTCGACGAAGCAATCCGCTTGATCAAAGAGGTCGTCTGCGATGGATTCGAAACGAAGAGAAGAAACTTTGACTGTTTCGAGACATTCAGCCAACTAATTCTTTGCTACTTTTTCCAGGGAGAGTGGCGACTCGCTGAACCATTTGTCAATCTTCTCTCTCAGTCAAATGGGAAAATGCCAGACTCAAGTCATGATTTAGTTATCTGCAACTTCATCCACGTTCTATCACTTTGCTACCTAGCCGAGTATTCCTTCAAGCGAACCCTTGAATACTGCAAGCAAGTAGTCTGCGGGAAGAGGAAACTATACAAGGCCGGACAGGCTAACAGGAGAGAGTACGAGGAAACATTGGGATTATACGCGACCATATACGAAGTTTCTGGTGACTGTCTACGTGCAGAGATCTTCAGGCGCCGACTGTTGGCAAATTTCACATACAAACACCCAGAGAATGTGGTTGTTTTCTTCCAAGGCCACGAGAACTTACTTAACAGCATCATCGGCTCGGACAATATCCAGACACTAACTGGAGCTCTTCTGACGAGTACGGCTGAGTTAGCAGCGACTCCAATGGATGCTACTCATGGTGGAGTACCAGCGAAGATATCTGTCGGAAATATCCTAAGAATGAAACTTACCAGATACGAAATGCTTGAGCGTGATACTGCGAAAGAGGCAGTCGTCGACACTCTCCGTTCGCCATACGAGGCAGATGACGAGCTTTCGCCTATAGGAATGACTATAACACATCCCCAAAGTCCTAAAGAGAAGTCACCGATCCGGAGGCATCTCACTCGGATCTTCAAATCACGGAGCTCTCGCCTGGACTTATTGGGCTCTGCTAGCAGAGATGAAGGCGACTTGCCAATGACTGATAGTCCATCGACTACGGAACCCTCAAGTAGATTTAGGCTGTTCTCTCATAGAGGACCAAATCTCAAAAAATCCAGAACCCAACGGCGAGCGCATGCTGAGACTGCTATGTCTGGTGGAATTATAGTGACTAGGACTATAGAGATTGCTGAACAGGATTATGGGGCTTCTACCGCTCATACTGGTCGTAGAATTCTAGCCGATTCTACATCAGCCGATGAGTCCCTAAACTCTGATTCGGGATTTCATGGAATCAGAGAACAGCAATTAAAAGCATCATCTCACCTCGGATCGGTGGACACGTCTCGCCATGAATTAGGAGATACATCGCCACCAGATCAAACCAAAGACAGATCGCAAGCAACCAACTGCGAAAGCGGGTATGGAAAGTTGGATAACATGATTGAATTTGATGATGATTCTGATGATGGGTCCACGGCTCTTGACCATGAATTGTCCTCCAAAACACCTCCGGCCACCGACAGTGACCCGCAAACTTCGCATTCACCTGCAGACAATTTTGACCACGACGCAAAAGCGCCAGTTGGTATAGACAGCAATCGGGATACAATAAGACAGGGAAACCCTCACGACTTTCCTCCTATGTTCGAAAATTATCGTGCGGAGCTCTGGTTTGGCGACAGATGGGCTCAAGCACTTCAAAGCGTTACTTCTCAGCTAGCGATCCATCTCTCCTCGATAAACCGGAATGAAGATTTAAACAGTCTGCAGGACCATAACCAGGCGCTAACTGAGCTTTTCCCAAGTTTCAAGGCCCTCAGAAATGATCCGAATATGGTCAATGCCATTAGAGTGGCCATGTTCAGGTTGCGGAAGAAGATCAAGGCATTGCCGCAGGTTCACGAGGATTCCGGTTACGAGTCTACCCAGAATCCTCGGAACAAAGGAACAGCTGTGACGGAGTCTACGGAAATCTCACGGACTTGTCGCCCGCCAGTGATCAGGAACACAGCTTACGCTGAGACGCAGGACAAGGTGCAGAGCTCAAACCAAACCCCAGATTTCTCTTCAGAAACTGTTTTTTCTTGGCGTGAAGATCCAAGCAACTTGTTATCCTCAAACGAACATCCCGAGATTCTGTGCTACCACCAGTTTGAAGATATAGGTGACGATACTAAAAGATTCGCTGATATTGATGCATCGAAAGCACAAGTGCCGGATATCGAGCATCCGCACAATACCTCTACTGCGGGAATAAGAATAGGAACATCTTCCGTCACAAAGAATAAGGCATCCGGAATAAAGGAAGCGCGCAAATATGATGACGGCCCACCTTTTGCCTTTTCACCCGTACGGACACATGTTGACGAGCCCGTCCAAATACTTCCAAGGCTGCCGCTTTCCACATCTCACCACACTCAAGTGACAGATCTAAGTCTGATATGTCCGCCACCTCGTTCCGATAAAAGACAAGGCTCTCTGTTCAAAGATGAAGACGACATATATTCGGCCACTCCGATAGAAATAGTCAGGCGGCATCGACCGGAGGCAACATATATTCCTACTCAGCATGACATCACATATTACATGGAATAGCTACGGGCGTCAAAAATTGACGGAGCTTTTCCTGCACATATCCGACTCAGGAAATGAATTCTCCTTATCTCAGTTATTCAGGTATGGGCATGCTGTCATAAATAAATACAACTATTAGATCTGTACGTCTACTTTTATTAGACATGTACGTCTACTTTTCGACCGATTCCTTATGTGTTGCAGTCTGCTTTTCATTCATTGACAGGAGGGTACGGTTGAGCTTGGGCGAAATGTGTATAATATACTGTCTAGAGCAGGTTCAATTATACGTATCTCAATTTTAATCGAAAATGCCTCCACCTACGAACAAAATGGCGATAGAGTCTCGGCTGTTCGTCGAAGTAGGCCTGTATAATAAACATCCGATAGCAAGGCCGAGCCATGGTCAATAATAAACTGCATATGGTCTGGATGGACATCGAGTGTCTCTGTCTCAGATTGGACTTGTCCATACTTTCCGAGAGGTGTGCGATCTATGGGAGGCACGCACTCCATTGCCAGCGCACCATCGTACCCTGTTTCGACCAACGCCGCCATGATCTGTGGCCAGTTGAAGTTGCCGTCTCCAGCGGCCAGTCTGTTGTGATCTGCGACGTGGAAGTCGACGATACGGGGGCCGCATGCTTTGATCGCGGCGATCAGGTCTGACTCCTCTAGAGCTAGATGGAAAGGGTCGAAGGCAATACCACAGTCGAAGCCCACCTCCTCAGCAAGAGCAAGAGCCTGATCAGTCCGGTTGAGGAAGTAGGTCTCAAACCGGTTCAATGGCTCCAGTCCGATCTTGACTCCTTTGCCCTTCGCAAACTCAGCAATCTCTCGAAGGCCCTCCACGGCCCACTTCCACTCCATCTCTGCCGATGACGTGGGTGCGATCTTGCCAACCCTCCCAGGGACGACTGTCGTGATCTTGCCTCCTAATTCAGCGGATAACGCAACAACATCCTTGACGTATTGGATTGTATCGCGTCTTTCTCGTGGATCCACGGCTAAGAGATCACGTTTCCCCTGCTGGATCGTGACAGTGCCCCAGAGCGTTATGCCATACTTTTCTAAGAGATCGCGGGTCTCCTGGATAGGGTATTGCCCTGGCTCTCCGGCTAGCTCGATGCTTTTGTATCCCAGGCTTTGTGCACGTTTTAGGGTGACTTCGAGAGGCTCCGGGCGCATCCAAGTATGAGTAGACAGATGCATTGTGGTGGTGTTTTCTTGAGTTGTTGAAGGTGACAGATCAAAGAAATGCGTTGAAGTGAGATTGTTTGACTATGAGTTGAAATATGAATTGATTGCTTGGTTGGAGGTATTTCCCGGAAAAGACAGAGGGCGCGGTGCATCTTATAGAACGGACATCGGACATAACACAATGACGGAAGGCAGATTACTGTCGTTGTATACGTTGTTATCAAGACGGAATGAGATCATCCGCACGGCAGGTGGAGCTGAGAAACGGAATTTCTTGATCCGCACAAAAATCCTCTTCGGTCTCTAGGTAATAAGTAAGAACATATTAAAGTCGGAGAACTTCCAGTGGTTAAGAATTAACCGCAGATCCGGAATAATCGTAATGATTTCGGCACACCTACATTTCCATTAAGAAGGTTATCACCACACACTTAAATGGATAGGCTTGAGGCACCCAGAAACATCAGGAGTGATCTTGAGTACAATAAAGTGAAGAAAACAAGCGACCGGATCAAGCTACTGAGTCGGGGCCCACTTGTCAATTTGGCCGGGTTAGATATATTAGCTATTTTCAGCATCCGTAGAAAAAGACATCTTTTTCAACCCTTCTTATTTTCACTTTTGAAAATCCCTTCTTATGAAAGATACGTCTTTTAACAATATTACGGCGGCTACGATAGGTCAATTGACTAGCTGTAAATGTGAACTATTTGATCAAATGAGAATATATATAAAACTCAAAACCTCCTTTTCATAGCTGTTGTGGAAGGTTGTTAGATTTTGGTGTAGTTAGCAGTCTACATTTCAAGTTCGCTAACAGCCGTGGTGTTGTTCGTTTTTCCCCCAACACACTACCTGCTGGTCCCTCACGCGGGTTCGGAAGCTCTTTCATGGTAGTTCCAGCCATTGATCTTGGCCTTCGTCTAGACTATGGCGTAACTTGATTAGGTGATTGACTACGAAGGTCTGCGGTGTCACGTCCGGAATTCCAACCCTTCTTTGCAATCATCGCTTTGACTTGCATAGGTATGACTTGAGCTGACTTTTCTTAGCTCCGAATGGTCTTATCGCCAAGCTAGGCTGATGCCCCAAGCAGTAGATGTGAAGGATTGGTGCAAAGAAGCTGCTAGAGCACTTGATATCATCCCACGGCTTTCAATCAAAACCTTGACAATATCTGCACGATTTGAGTCGAGAAATTCTTGAAAAACAAATGGCCTGTTGACATGTTGCTTCTCTTTGTTTTTTAGATTCCGCGTGGTTAGTTGGATTTTTAACACATGTCCGCGATGGTCTTGTTAGCTAAAACTGACTCGCAGTCCACTCCACAACGTAGCTTTCTAGCTTGCGGAAAGCAGGTATTTTCAACTGCGCCCCCACGATCTTTTGGCTCACACACTACATCTGATTATCAAAGGTGAGTAACTAGAGGGACTATCATGATTGCTTATCATGTCTTCGGTCTTGTGGTCCTTCATTCCAACGGTAAAATATTTTAGATTCATCATAGCGGTACGGTAGTTTTGGATGAGCTTGGCACTTAAACCACAATACTATTCATTGTGTTGAGTTGTCGGGTTTGGTATTTTCCATTACTGTTTAACCTTATACTCCGTACACAGCTTTAGGAAACCAAAAGCCAATGACGAACGTTACCAGCCGCGAAGCTCCATGTAATCCATTGTTTTCATATGTCGCACAGACTTGGACAGACGTGCTTTTCTGTAGGCAGGGCCGGTTACAGTAAGCTACTGTCATTCGTGGTGTAATCTTATATGCGCTGTATAACGATGACGGGGTCCATACGTGGGAAGGGCAGTATTTCCCTCGTATCTCAAGACTAGCATAATCTTTACCTTCTTTCCCCAAAAAATTCTCTATGCTTGCCTAAAATCATTTCTTTATTCCAAAGCTTCCACGTATTTTTTGCATTGTCGAGAACCAGCAGTTATATATGCCCCGTTCATCACTACCCGTGGGTCAACGGCTTCGCGCTGCCCACTAAGTGGGGGAGAGGAGGATTATTTTCCTCCCTTTATTTTCCCCCTTTAAGGGAGGAACAACAATCACCTCTCCCTTCTTTAGTTGGGCAGTGCCAAGCCATTGATCTACGAGTAGCTCAACTCTTCTTCCTTCCGTCTCGTGTGCCTATTCTGAGTACATCATGGCAGCACAAACCATTACGCACGTATGGGCCTTGGAGTTCTGGTCCCTGGCCGCTTCCTTGGCCCAGTTCGCAATCATGTTCGCGCTGATGATGTTCTTTGATGGCAAGCAGACATTCGACGGCTTATTTGTGGCTATGAACACAATTACATCTATTCTATCTACGGGATCCAGAGCATCCCTTCTGACTACAGTCTCAAGTTGTATTAGTCAAAGAAGCTGGGCAGCTTTTTCAGCCAAGCCTCGTCGGCTTTACGACTTCGAAATGATTTCTGAATCCAGTCGTGGTCCTTTGGGGGGTGTTCAGCTTTTAGTAGACAGCAGGTTCAAAGGAGGGTACGTCTGTGCATATGAATTTTTGCGTGCCTGTAAGTCTGCAGAGCTGACGATAGTGAGTCGTGTAGTGCCCTTGTTCGATTCGGCGCAATTATTACTCTGCTCTCCATTGCCACGGGCCCCTTCGCCCAGCAACTCGTGCGAGTGCGTCAAATCGACTTTCTTGAAGAGGGCGGAAGTATCACCCAGGGACTTTCTTACTCCAAGGGGATAGTTAAGCCTCATTTTGGGGCCCACTATGGCCAGAAAGACTCTATGATAATAATGAATGTCCGAGTCGTCATGTGCAAACCCGATTTCAGTATGAAGGCCTCACTCATGTTCGCGCTCTCCGCCGAGAAAAGCGACGTTATTCGGCAAGCAACTTTTGAATGCCCCGGAACTAGTTGTTTATTTCAGAATTTCCGATCCCTAGCGATTTGCAGCAGATGTTATGATATTAGCTCAATGCTAGTAGTGAACCAGTATATGACGAATTTCACTGATAACGTATCCCATAGAGAATATTCTGTTACCAAATATAGTCTTCCAAATGGACTTTATCTGGAAATCGAAGATGTATCTTCAAATGACCCTTATTCTAGAACCGGATCGTCTTGTCTTATCCCTCTACGGCACTTCCAATCCAGATAAATCGATCAAAGCTAGAGAAATCGACACCCTAATCTGGTCACAGAGTGTTATCAAAGTGGACAACTCGACTAATATTTGGCAGTGGCCTAATATGTCAGTCTATGCCATGGAGTGTGCTCTTTTTTACTGTATCAAAGACTATTCATTCCGAGTAGTTAATAGTTCCATGGAGCTGGAGCTGGAAAGTGAGCGGAAGGAATATCGAAGGCATCCTGACTCATGGAAGCTTCTTTTAGGAAACTCGGAAAGTGAGATTATAGCCAACGCCTCGATCAATCTTGCTCTCCACCCGAATCAGTCGGCCTTCGAAAGATCAGACCTTCAACTATCCAGCGATCTCAACAAATCAGAAGGCTTTAATATCTCTCAGTCTGGGGTCAAAACGATTAGTTCACTTGTCCAAACGTTATTCTCGTCTTGCTTTAATAAGAAAGGCTGCCCTGCGGCGGTAGATGATTGGCGACCCCCAACTGGATATTACAGCCACTCGCGGATGCGGAATGTGATGGACTATAATCCCGACATAGCACCGTTTACGTGGTTTTCGGAAAACCTTACGGCTAGATTCGACGGTATTGCGGCTAGCATGAGCAATTCCTTGCGATCTGGAGACGATTTGAACAGTCGTTTCGTTGGCAAAGTTGCCAATCCTATCACCGTTTACAAGATAAATTGGCCTTGGATATCATACCAGCTCTTCCTCCAGGTCGCAGCCATGATTTTCTTCGCCATTACCGTTGGTGTTAACCGGCAGCCTGGTGGCTCTCACATCCCAGTATGGAAATCCAGTCAGCTGGCCGTCATGTCGCAAGGGCCGTTAGTATCGGACGTGTTGAAGGGTGCGAAAACACTCGAGGAACTGGAAACGGCGGCTAAGAAAACGTCGATTATGCTGTTCGCCAAAGATGAAGATCAGCCTTTGATGCCACTTGGCGCGGGAGAAGCCGCGGATGGCACAAGCCTTAGAAGAAACTCGGCCTCTGATTGAAGCTCTTATCAATATGTCTTGGCCGTCATAGATCTTCAGTGAGGGAAAGCAATAAAAATAGAAGCCATGTCATAAGTAGTTCAATGCTGGCTTGAGTGAATTTCAACATGAAACCTTACCTACCTATCTAATCCCCTAATACCAGCTATATTTGATACATATACTGAATGCTTCCCAGGCAGATGAATAGCAGAAACGACGGGCGGATTAGCCAATTCAGTTAGTTTCAGGTCGTTCCTGCGGGGCATTGGCCCCTGATCAATGCTCCTACTGTATGGATAGGAAACCCCAAAACAAACGCGACAGAGGCAATATTAATCCTGACGCGCTCCCAATTTTATTCTCTCTTCTCAAAAGCGCCCATCGACTTCTGGCCAGCGTCGCCTGCTGCCATCATGGACGCGCCCGTTTTTAGCTACTTCCCCAAACTTCCGCTAGAATTGAGGGAGGCAATTTGGAACGAGACGATGCCTTCAGATTCAGATGGACCAGTCATGTATCCATTCGGCGATCACTTCATCAACTACACAGCCCAGCCAGCAGAATCAGCCCAGCCGCTGATGGTGCAGCTCCCCATGCCGCCAGCCTTCTTCGTCTGTCGCGAAGCGCGCAGGGTTGCAGAGCGGTGGATGGCCTCCGTCAACGGATGGCTGCATTTCAACAGAGAGACGCAGAGCCACATCGCCGTACGCGCCTGGAACGAGGAAACGGACCTGCTCTATGTCCCGCGATTTAAGTGGCGCTTCTTCTCGCTCCGCATGTTGGAAGAGACTCCCGAAGATTGGCCGATCTACGCCCGGATGCACAAGAGGGTGAGGAACTTGGCGCTGCCCGCCTTCACCGCGTACTACAGCCCAGCGAGACTCGTCTCAGCCATGGACCTCGTGCCGGATCTCACCGCTGTGCACGTTGTTTTCGGGCCCCTGCCGACAGTTCGCGCATCCGCCCCCGGGGAAGCGTTGGATGAGGCGGCTGTACAGCCTCGCTGGGCTGTGGAGGTTGAGGACAGCGAGGAGGTGAGGATGTGTTGCCGCGATGACCTGACGGGTACAACATCTTGGGAGACGGGCGAGCTGGAGGATTTGATGTATGAACTCCATCAGGAGTTGGCGCTTCAAGAAGATATCCCAGAACAATACATCGACGATGAAAAGGGCGTGGTCAAACTGCCCTTTCGGCCCGTGAGGCTTAAGAATGAGTAGAGGACCATGGTGAAAGGGGCAGCCCGTTGACGGCCTCAACTCAATTGAACGGGGCCACAGAGCCGCATCGAGATACCGTATGCTGCTACTTTGTTTGTTTCAAGAGTCGTCGAGGCGAAAGGCAATGGGGTTGACTTTCATCTATATGCTGTGCGATTGGCCAAAGGCCTTGGTCCTTTCATTAGCTGCCGCAAAGGAGACTTCTTTCAGCGTTTATCGACATGGAATTCCCATACGTAGGAGAAAGAAAATAAAGTTCAACAGCAATGAAAGCTGCCAGGGCCCGACAATTCAACTCAATGAATGCATAGATTTCCCATATTAGATTCGGGATTCCCTTTTGTAGGTCGCTTCTATTGGTTATGATGGTTCTATTATGGGGGTTATGACGAATGAAGTGCACTTCAATGTCGTTGACAATATCATAATATACATTAGCAATGACTACTACTCTCAATGAGTTACACTACTGAAGCTTGTTTGCCGTTAGTCGTTAGTCCTGGGAGTGAACAATCCGATTGCGTACTGATTAAACAAAACCCTCTCAGGACGAGGGGTTCGCGCTACCGAACTGTCTGCTCATTACCCAATGCTCAGGCAGCATAAATAATCAACCCAGCATGCCTCATCAGGTTAGGACCGTTACATAGCCGCCAATTGGAAGGAATTTGGGCTGAAAAGGATCACGTCAGCTACCATGCTGAGCCACATTTAGCCGAAACGCCTTGTTGCTGGGGTGTCTTTGCAATGGATACGAAGTGCGGGATCTCGTGCCGTAGGCAAAGCGCATCGTAAGAGAAAATGGACTGAGGGGATTTCAGAGCAAGAAACACAGGCGAAAATGGCATCAACCTCCCAGCAGGCTGGGTCAAAGGTGCGTCGAACCCGCGTCAAGACCGGCTGCGCGACTTGTCGGTGAGCACAACTTCGTATGTTTCTTTAGTAGTGGACTAGCAGTGGACATATCGTCCAGACTTACAAATATGCTGGTTTAGAAAACGCCGCATCAAATGCGATGAGGCGCGACCGGCCTGTGGACGATGTGTGCTCTCCGGATGGGAATGTGACGGTTACGTTGCAGCCGCACAAACGCAGCCCTCAACGGTTTTGGTCCAGAGACAGCGATCCAGCATCATCTCGTACTCGATCCCATTCTGCATGCCGGGAAGCCGAAAGGACCGGCAGTTCCTGCACTACTACTGCTCCCAGGGCGCGGCGGAGATATCAGGCTTCCTGTCCGCCAAGTTCTGGAGCGAGACTGTGCTTCGCCAGAGTCACCATGAGCCAGCCATCCGGCAGGTCTTGGTTGCGCTGAGCTCTCTTCACCTGCAGTACACCACCTCTGATGCCCCGACTTCCACGTTGGCCCCCAAAGACACGCTAGCACAATATGGAAAGGGCCTTCAAATGCTACGAAAGCGCCTAGGACAACCGTCACCCCAAGGTGTAAGGATCGCCCTGATCTCATCTATCATGCTTTACTGTTTCGAGACCGCCCTGGGAAACAGCAATGTTGCTATTATACATCTTGATAAAGGGTTGATGCTACTACGCTCAGTTAAGGACCTCACTAACGAGGAAGACGGGGAAGCCATCTTCGACTTACTCGCTCGCCTTGACGTCCAGGCCACGCTGTTCAACGACAGTAGGGTGCCGATACTAACTCTCACAACTCCATACGAACGCAAGAATGGGTTTATTGACTCCCCAGAGCTACCGTTTACATCTCTCCATGAGGCGCAGAAAAAGCTGGGCAAGCTTCAGAACTGGTTCTTTCGCTTCCTCAGCGACAATTTCAGAAGTCAGCCAGTCCGTTTGGTGAAAATTCCCCCGAGTCTTTTGGGTGAGCGGAACCTCCTGGATTGGCACTTTACCGCGTGGCTTCAGAAGAGCCAATACCCGATCCCTACTACAACACTAGACGAGAAAGCAGAGACGGAGTGTGGGATGAATATCCTCTTCACACAGCATGGACCGTTCCGCATGCTCCTCAAGTCATATTTTCTCGAAGAGCGTTCCCTATCAGAATCAGTGTTCGAAATGTCACCAAATCCTGAAGCTCGGGAAATCGTACGGCGTGCCGAGTCTGTTATCCAGTACTTAGAACAGAAAAGAGCGAAAGGAGGAGCGAAGACGCCATGGGCCCAGCGTCGTACCTTTTCGTCCGAGACAGGCATCATCGTCGTGCTGTTCTTCTTGATCTTCAAGTGCGCGGATGAGTACGTCGTGGAGAAGGCCACAGAGCTTCTCTCTCACACGCAGAGACAAGAGGGGCTGGTCGAGGCGGCGTCGATGATGGCGATTCTGAATCATCTGAATGCGGTTAAACAGGCGAAGGCTTCGGCGTCGGTTGGCAGAACAGAGGGATTTAAGACGTTGGAGGATTGGACGGAGCATGATATCATCAGTCAGGAGGGCGTCGGTATGGACCGCGAGGGGAAAATGATTCCGCCCACGATAATTAGAAACTGATGAGATCACAAGTTTTAATCATTTAGACAGACGGATTTCAAGAGTAGCAAGAATGGACATCTCTAATGAAGATGCCCTGGGCATTATGGCAAACTTGCAACACAACTCTACTTCATCGCCAACGATGAATAAAATCACAATGAAAACATGTAAGAGGCCAAAAAATCAATATCAATGTTCGCCGAACTCCAGTTTGTGCTCTGGTTCTAACCCCCTCTAAACAAGGAGTTATGACATTCACCTACTGACCTAGAAGGGAGAAGCATTTGAAGTATGGTGCAGCATATGCCTTGGCGCACTTCATTAGTATGGACGATATTCCAGGCTGCATGAAAATCTGTGAACAAAAGAGAATCCTTTTAAGTTGCTCTCAGTGTGATTGGTTTATTCAGGGTCGAAGTCTCAACTAGAAATTCCCCGTGGAATTGGCATCATTGCATTGATGGAATCAAACTTGAGAATGGAGAGCAGCACTCCAGCCCGCTGGAGCCGTTATCCGCGGAGGCCGAAAATGGGTTTAATGTTAGAGATTGCCGTAGAAGATGCAAGAACCAGCTGAATTATGCACTTCTGCAAAGTTTCAGTATCACAGCCTATCTCGGAAGGTGTCTTGAGACAAAACCAGGATAAGGTTTAAGTCCAAGGAAACATGTGTCGAAGCACTCGAGATCAAGTACGATCCACGTATCACATGTCAGATTAGACGATAGATAAAGAAACAAAAGAAAACCATCCTATTTTTGCAGATTCCGTGATTTTAAAAAGTGCCTTTGCAACATAGTGGTTCAATTTTGGCAGGTAGATTAAGTGATTACGCGTTCTCGACCCTGTGGCGGCCAGCTCCGCTTCATGTCAGGTTTCGCCTTTCTATACAGACGTTCTAGGCTCCATTGTCGGTAATGCACAGGTTCTTTCATAGATACCCTAGGATCTATTATCAGAACCCAGGCTATCGCGATATAGAAAACTCATAGTGGCAACTCCTAATCCCTGTTCTGTTCCTTGAAAGGGAACCATATCATCTCATTGAGCGGATCTAAGCTCTAGTTACTAAGTTAGATAGCAGATCGCTCGAATAGGTGCCCATGTTACCCTAGGTGCTTCAAAACCGTATTTATCTCCAGGATCTAATAGCAATCAACAGCCAAACATGACTAACCCGCCATAAGGGGCAATCCCGAGTAGTAAGTATGAAAATTAAATCGGAAAACGCTACTCTTATTGTAACTTATACACATGAAGAAGATGATGTATGCAAATCAAGCATTAAGTATATCTCAGCAAACAGTCAAATATAGGTATTCCAGCGATCGTCAGCGTAGATACCAAGCTTTACGGAGATGCACAACTGAAAGATTTCTTCTTGGTGTTCCCGAGTGCTACATAATTCATCTTGCTAAGCAGTCCCAGCCGGTATTCACCGTAACAGGGGCGAAGCGGTGTAATAGTTAGTGTCTGATTTGTTGAATCCTTGGCACATATATGGGCCTCTCCAGGGTCAGAGGGCGCAAGTTTGAGGATCATGAGAAAGCCAATGGCAAAGAAGGTTTCGGTCACAGCTCTGTTGGAGGCATATATCAACTGCAACACGCCTTACCTAGGAAAGTGGGGGAGGCTTACGACGACGAGTTACATTGGAGAGCCCTGGAGCCTCGTCCAGCATACGAATCACCCGATTTGAGCCTTTTGGGGTAGACGGATTCGCAATTGGTTGCCAGGTATCATTCTCCATCTTCATACTTGTTGGCTCAAACTGTGGCTTAGGCTCTTCTCTCTGCTACCTCCCTGTTTCATACCCATCAATGGATATTAGGGACGTCCCATACGACCTTGAGTTGTATGAACTGCAGTGTTATGAGTACGCATTTTAATTTTCCAATTCGTGAAGGCGTTTTACTTCTAGAGTCTTGATGCACCCCTCACCTCCGACAACTGGGGATTTTCAAAGTAGAAAAAGCAACCGCGCATTAACTCGAATACCGCAGATATCATGCTTAGGATTGTATCGGCGACTATCCTTCACTCTGCTCTTCGTGTCTAGCCCTATTCTAGACCCTGAGGGTCCCGGGATTGCTTTCAAGGCCTTGCCCGAACCCCCACAGCAATGAGGGTAGAGATGCACGGAGGCTGACCTTGATTTGAATATCATAGCTCCCAATGCGACCTTGTTTTGAAACATCTCAGTTTTGATTGGTTCATGCCGCAAGACTCTGAATCTATCTATCTATATGTCAAGCTCTAAACATTCCTCTTTGGGTGCGAATCAAGGGGACACTTTTCCCATGCCCTGTTCTACAACCCTTGTCGCACTGACCATAGCTAATGCATGTGTCTATGTCAACTTCCAATCAAGGCAATGACACGAATGTGATGAGGATTCCCGTTATAGGTGGTAGACGGCGAAAGATGATGCGTGTCCGAAAAAAGCGATATTCTAAACAAGCAGGGGGACGGGCCACAGGCTTGAGAAAAGTATAAAGTTCGACGACTCCGGGAGGATTTCCAACCACTTACCAAGCCATCAACTCCAACTATCTCTCATTCACTGTACTCGGAAGTGACAAACTGCGTCTCTACTCAGCCTTGGGTCTTGTGGCCTCGGCTGTTAGCCTGGGTGTCGCCCATCCTGGCGATGATCCGCACAAAGAACTGCACCAACGGCGGGACTTCATGTCCAAGGTGGAGCGTACAGACTTGGCCCATTGTGCGGAAAAGTTCAAGGCCCGCGGTATCGACAAGCGTGCCATCGAGCGTCGCAAGAATATCATGCAAGAGATGGCTCTTCGTCGTCGGTTTGCAGTCCGCGACCCAGAAGACATTAACAAGTCCCATCTCTCACCTTACAAATACGACCTGGACACCCCTCTGGATGTCATTTTTGGAAATGGCACCTCTTGCCTGCTCAGCCCTGAAGCAACTGAGGGCCCTTACTGTAAGTTGTCAGAGTTTATATTCCAGCGGAGAACACATTCTATCCAAAATTTAGTGTATTGACAGTTTCATAGATGTCGCTGGCGAATATGTTCGACAGGACATCACTGGCAGCGAGCCTGGTGTTCCCCTAGTTGTTGATTTTGATGTCTTTGATGTTGAAACTTGCGAGCCACTCACTGACACATATGTCGAGATCTGGAGTAAGTAAAGGCCTCTCAAACTGTATAGGAACCTAGACTAACATTGGGAAGGCTGCAACTCCACTGGAATCTAATCAGGCGTGTCCAGCGGCGGTGACTATACCAGCGCCCCAGAGAATCTGAAGACTACATTCCTCCGTGGATTCCAGAAGACCGATGATATTGGGGCGATCCGCGTTGATGGTATCTTCCCCGGCCATTATTCCGGACGAACCCAGCATATCCACCTCATGGTTCATCCAAACGCCACTGAGCGTCTAAACCATACTGTTGAAGACATCAGCGCCAGCCACGTTGGACAGGTCTTCTTTGATCAGGATCTCATTGATAGCGTCGAGCTTCTCGCACCCTACAACACCAACACTCAGTCGGTTACGAAGAACGCCGAAGACTTCCATCTTGAGGCTATCCTCGAGACCAGCGACCCCTTCTTGCAGTACGTTCTTCTTGGTGACCAGCTCAATGACGGTGTCCTCGCCTGGATCAGCTTTGGAGTCAATACCACCTCTATCCGTTCAGTCAGCGCCGCTGCAATTTACTATGAAGGTGGTGGTATCGACAACCCCAATGCTGGCGATCCCGGCGGTGGCGGTCCTGGAGGTCCCCCAAGCGGTGACTTCCCTACTGGAACTCCTCTGCCAATCATTACCCCACCTGCCGTCTAGGTCGAGTCATATTGAAGATACTGCCGATGATGTTTGATCTAGCATCACAAAGATGAAGATGACAGGCTAAGTATATGCAGAGGTGGCTAGAATGTAACGACAACTAAGAAACCCCACGAAAAGAAGACCAAACCCCTTGGAGGATTTTTCCTTTTAAGTTGTCACAACAATTCTATAGTTGTAGATGGTCGGTTAGGAAATAGTTTGAGAAGAGAAGTGTTTACAGAGAGATAATCCAGGGTAGGCCATCGGAAGTTGTCAAGTTGTCTGCCCCTTGTCCGTCCATCAAGGTCCAACCACCCCGCTTCGGGCTTGGCTCCCGGCCCCAGCCGCCTGTATTTATTGAGTTTAGCAGGTCCCTGATTGCATCATTGCTGCTGCCTCCCTCTACCCATTTAAACTCACTTCTTCCATGCATTCGTGAATTGGCTGCCATTCACTTCTGCCACGCGTCTAGTCCAACGGCGTAATGACGATTTCTGGCTTGGTCAAAGGCATTGGCCTGGCGCTTGCCTTGGCCTCGCAGCAGACATTGGCCATCTACCCCGCGAACCTACATCCCTTTTCACACGCCCGCAGCTTCCACGAGAGACGACCTGAGATCAACGCCCTCGACAAGAACCAGCGACCAGCATACAACCTGTCCGTCCCGGTCGACCACTTCCATAACGAGACCAAATACGAGCCACACTCCAATGACTTCTTCAATCTCCGCTACTGGGTAGACGATACCTACTACAAGCCTGGCGGGCCAGTCATCCTCATAGGTGCCGGCGAGCTCACCGGCGTCGCTCGCCTACCATACGTGGAGCAGGGCATTGGCAAGATTCTCTCCGAGGCCACGGGCGGTTTGACAGTCCTTCTCGAGCATAGATACTACGGAACGAGCTACCCAGTACCCGATCTCTCCACCCACAATCTGCGATTCCTCTCCACTGAACAAGCCCTCGCTGATACGGCTTACTTTGTGCGAAATATAAAATATCCCGGTCTCGAGCATCTCAATCTGACGTCCCATACCACCCCATATATCTTCTACGGAGGATCCTACGCTGGTGCGTTTGTTGCTCTGGCCCGCAAGATCTACCCTGATGATTTCTGGGGCGCCATTTCTGGCTCGGGCGTGCCCCTGCTGATTGACGACTACTGGGAGTATCTCGAGGCAGTCCGGATCTATGGAGATCAGGATTGCGTCCAGGCCTCACAACTCATTACACGCATCATCGATAATGTCCTGTTGGGCGATAGCCCCGACGCTGTTCACAAGCTTAAGCAATTCTTTGATCTCGTTGAACTCAGCGACAAAGACTTCGCCTTTTTCGTCAATCTGGGTCCTATGGGCTTGCAAGAAACTCATTGGGATCCCGACGTTGACGGGCCAGGTCTGGCACGCTACTGCCAAGCAGTCACGGCCGACAGACCTCTTTACTCTAGCACTCGCACACTAACGAACGACGTCAAGGATCTTTTGGCTGCTGCGGGGTTCAAAGAACAGGCTGATGAGATAGTGCCCTTGATCCTCAACTGGATAGGCCACACGAGGGCAACATTCAAGGAAGAGCTCTCTAGTTGCGACCAAGGTTGGGCGAAGTGTTTGCTCAAGAGCACCTCAGTTGAGGACATCAGCATTCCTCAAGGGCTGGAACGTCCATGGGCATACCAGACTTGTACTCAGTAAGTGCCTTTGTCTCTGTACATCCCCCATTTCCGCCTGCTAACCATCGACTCTCGCAGATGGGGATACTTCCTCACTGGCACTGGCGTCCCTGAAGACCAGTCACCACTCGTCTCGCGCTTGATCGACTATGAATACGGGAGCAAAGTGTGTCCTGAGGGCTTCGGCATACCTGCGGCCCCAGACGTGGAGAGCATCAACCGCTATGGCGGTGCCAACTTCTCCCACTCTCGCGTGGCTTTTATTGACGGCGAGCACGACCCCTGGCGACAAGCTGGAGTCCATCGCATTGGTGTCAATCAGCACAGAACGTCGACCGATTCCGAGCCATTCATCCTGCTCAAGGGCGGCGTGCACCACTGGGATCAGTACGGACCGAAACCCAATGCGACAGGCAGCTGGCTGCCTCCCAAGGCTGTTGTCGAAGCGCAGCAGGAAGAGATCCGCTTCGTGAAGGTGTGGTTGCATGAGTTTGCCGAGTACAAAGCTAGGAAGGAGGGTATGGTTTCGGGATCAATAGATGATACTGGACTTGAGCTTTAGGGTGAGCATCTGGATTCAAGTTCACTGATTTGATTGATACACATGAAACGCGGAATGATTCTAACAAGAAGAGACTTGGCACCCACGAGCAGCGAGTGGTATTATGCTCGCCCATATTCAGGAAGCCATGTTTCCCTTTTCTGAAGTACTCCCCTTCTCCATGATACTATATTAAAGAGGAAAAGTTCACAAAGAATTCTTCTTTTGTCATGAACTTGTATCATTTCTTCTAGATCAATGTTCTGTTAATAGACCGGACTAGACCAGCACAATGTCCTCCTTTGCATAGCTGTTACTACCTTGCCGCCACGCCGCCACGGCATCCCCATACATAAAATCATACATATAACACTCCCCAACAACTTTGTACTCGCCTTCGATCCCGGTTGGCCTGAGGATGAACGGGACGTCTGCGCCAAAAAGCACAGCGCAGACATCCCCTTGCTGCATCGCCGCCGGACCAAGCCCCCAGAGCCCCTCGTTTTTGGTCGTGAAGAAACGCCGATTCGTCCCGTACCATTTGAATTGTGTGCCGAATGCCTCACTTCCTTCTAGAACAATCTTTAGGCTCCAGAGCCCGCCCTCGGTCTCCATGTTCTTGAAGAACTTTATGTCGGCGTGCATGCAAAACCCAGCAAACATCTCAACAGCAGAATGCCCAGGTTGGCGATGGTCGCAGATTAGAGTCGACGCAAAGGCCTCAATGACCCTTTCGCGAGGGTAGGCGTAGGGGTTCTGCGTGGCCAGCTTCCAGCAATCTTCGATGAGCCGAGCGCCCGCCCAGTCTATTGGCTCGAGGTCATCCGGCTTCATCGTCGGTGTGGATTGGTCGACGGTGTCGATTATCAGTCCAGAGATGGAGAGCTTAGCGCCGCTTGACTGAGATGGATATTGGCGACGCTCTTTCTTTCGAAGACTGGCATCCCAGGCTTCCCAGAAGGCTTCCGCATGCACTGGATGCTTCTCGCCCCATTGGGGTACCCATGAAGGATATTCCGATATGTTCAAACTTTCCTCTGTCTGCTGCAAATGCACGAGGAAGTTCAAGGAGTCTTCTGCTAGACTAGAAGCTAGAACCCGGTGCTGATCCTGCAAAGTGAGCGAGTAATCCGCCTGAAGCCACGTGGTGTCCGTGCCTGGCTTCTTGGCTTTCGGATGGCCCAAGAAAGCATACACGTAGTCCAGGCTGTTGGTCGCGTTGAAGTGTTGCGCTGCCTCTAAGACGAGCGTGAAGTCGACATCACAGCCGGAAAGGATCCCCTCGGCGAATCTGCGAAGAGTGGGTGTCCGCTGCATCCACGAGTCCTTCTTCTCATACGTAGACCAGACGTTCCAAAGAGCATACAAGGGAGAGCCCAGGAGGGTGGCCGATAACTCAGGACCTAGGAAATACTTGAGTTCCTCGTTAGTGAAGACGTTGTAAACAAAGACAGCAATCTGGCCAAAGTCGATGCCGGCATCGCCCCAAAAGGCTGTGGCGGTGGTAGCTAACCCGACCTCCTGAAGAACCCATACACGAGAGAACCATGTTAGAGCAAATAAATCCCCGATATAGTCTTTTCCACGATCTCCTAGGACTTTAGGGAGGACCGATCTTCTCCCAGAAAGAGGCCCCGCGCCCGCCATGTTCATCGACAGGGGATTTGATCGCTGCTCCTCTTCGTTTGGATCATACCGCTCTTGATGTGTGCCTGTTAATATCTTCTCGTTGATCTCCCGCAAGCACCGAAAGGCCTCGCGTGACGATCCCGTCGGATCGGGACCAAGCCACACGGTGACATCTCGGGCCTTATCGTAGATTGCTCCCATCAGGTTGACCTGCTGGCTCTTTTCAGTCTGATCCTCCTGGTTGATGCAGATGGCATCGGCCCAGGCGATCTGGGCCTCGCCAACCCGGCGGAGGCGGCGTAGGCCGTCAAAGAGGCTTTGAGCGATTTTGCACACACGGTCAGAGCAGATCAGCTCGGCGCTCTTGGTCGGGTCGCCCCAGACGTAGGATAGGGCCGTGTAGGCGGTATTGGTTTCCAAGTCGCTGGGGAAGAGCTCGCAAATCAGCCTATCGCCGGGCGAGCCAGGATAGATTTTGAGCAAGCGGATGAACCGTCCCGTTTGAGGTAGCGGGGTGTAGGCGAATGATTCAGACTCCATAGCTACTATGGCATGAAATATGATGAAGCCTATTTGATGGCGGTTGATTTCTCTGGTTTAGGGGTTTCCAGCATATCATAGAACATGAAGCTGGGCCGTGGGCAATGGAGCCTAGGCTATTCACTCTGATGGAGTCATTTCCAGGCCCTGGCAGGAAAGAGAACTCGTTGAGTTTAGGTCCTCAGTAGAGGAGAAAAATCTGAGCGGGCTGACTAAAGACCCGCAGGTAGCTGCGTGCAGTTCGTGTCAAGGCATTATTGGCTGTACTGCAGCCATCTGCTTCTTGGATGTGACTAGCCAGGCTGCGTCAATGAGCAAAGAGGTTTCGCTCTGTTTTTGGTCGTTTGTTCGTAAAGCCTGCCGTGTGAGTCCGTCTTTTAAAGGCGAATCATGTTATCTTGGGTATGGGAAAACCAGGGTTACATGGGAGTTGCCAAGGCATCCATCCATCTTAAGGCGGCACCTCAAGCAGGCCTGGAGCGGCCTGGCCTCAACTCCAATCTAAAAACCATCATTACCTTACGTACTAAGAATCCAATTGGTCTTAATATGGATGTTCCGGTAATGTTTTGTTGACTATATACCGCATTGGTAGAGAAGGCATTATTCCGCTACTGCTCAAGACAGAGGGCACTGCAGATTTCTGTAACGTTTCAAGATTCCTTCTCCTGTAAGGGGTAAACAACACTATGGTGAGGGTGCATTACCTGCCATGTAGCAAGTTCACACGAAGGATTAAAGTTATTGGCTGCTGGGGTCTTCAGCCGGGGATATGGCAGAGCAGGGGGAGGCCTCATGAGCCAACTCCACTGAGCCGAAATAAAGTTTATAAACTTCGCTGATGCCTGGCTGATTCATATCCAGATGATTGGATAGAGGATGATTTGAGATACCTTGCCTAGGGCCTGTTTCATCTGTTGTCCAGCTCGATTCCTTCCTATAGCGCGTGTAACCCCCTCGGCGCCAAGTCAGACATTCCGCCCCATGAGTTGGCCATGCATTTTATCATACAAGCACGACAGCCACATACCACTTAATCTTTGTGCAAAAAGCAAAGTTGCAGAGGACTCTTCCTTTGGGGGGGGAATAAGATAACCCCCGTGAGTTGAATATAAGCCCTGTACGCCGAATCTTGACTTTACTTTGCATGTTATCTTGAGTAGGGATTTTGTGTCATCACAAACTAAGAACATCAAGAAGTATACGTTGTGAAAGAAAACATACTCGAACATGGCCGCTCTCTCCTTTTTGACAAATGGGGTTTCCGAGTTGCCTCCTCTCCTTAGCCATCGCGAAAGAGCCAATCATGGGGGGCAGATAGGCGAGGAGAAGGTGATGGCCTTGGCAGCACCATGATCCCATTTTAATCCTATCATCCTTGGCCGCCCACATGGCAGAAACACTTCATCCCTGTCGGCGACCGGAACGAGGCGTATTCTCTGGGTATTAACGCTACCCGATCTCCATGCCTGGTTGAGTAGCAGGGATTGCTCCTAACTGTCCTTTCCTACCTTCCATCCTAGCCGCACGGCTGAGAGCGTTATCCATTATTGTCCCTTTTTCGAGAAAAGCACGTTTGAAATACATATAAAACTCCCAGTTTCGCTCTTTAGATGTTTCTCTTCGCCTCAGGCTCTTCCTGTCCTCTACCTACCTTCTTTACAACAAAGCCTCTTGTCACTCCTTTTTTGCCCAGCTACTTCATTGACTGAAGTTTGTCCTTTGCCTTCCTCGCCTTCCTCGCCTTTCACCGTACTTATTTTTCAAGCAACCCCTTACGGGCCGCAACTGAAGATGGTTTCTGCAAGAACCCTTGGCGTCGCCCTGGTGGCAGCCACAACCGTTTCCGCCCACGGCTTCGTCAAAGCCATCATCGCCGACGGCGTCGAGTATGGCGGCTACCTCGTCAACCAATATCCATACAAGAAGAACCCTCCCATCGTCGTCGCCTGGTCTGAACAGGAGAAGGAGCTCGGTTTCATCGCCCCCGACAAGTATACCTCCCCCGACATCATCTGCCACCTCGATGCCGAGAACGCCGGAGGCCACGCCACCGTCAAGGCGGGAGCCGAGATCTTCCTCGAGTGGGACCGCTGGCCAAAGGCCCATTTCGGTCCCATCCTGGACTACCTGGCCGCCTGCGGCGACGCCAACTGTGAGGACGTCAACAAGGAAGACCTCAAGTTCTTCAAGATCGACGAGGCTGGCCTCGAGGACGGTACCACTGAGTGGTACACCAAGACCCTCCTCAAAAACATGGGTTGGTTGATCAAGATCCCTGAGAACCTCAAGCCCGGCAACTATGTCCTGCGCCGTGAGCTCATTGCCCTCCACTCGGCCCAGAACAAGAACGGTGCCCAGAACTATCCCCAGTGTTTCAACCTCAAGGTCGAGGGTTCTGGCACCGAGCTTCCCGAGGGTGTTTCCGCCACTGAGCTCTACAAGCCCGACGACGCAGGAATTCTCGTCAGCATTTATGGTAGTAAATTCAAGAGCTACTCCATCCCTGGACCGGAAGTCGTCTCCATTGGTGGTTCGGTTGAGCAATCCGTCCCAGCTGCTACTAGCACTGCATCGGCCACTGTCCCTGGGAATGCTGCTGCTACCGCTGCCCCCAAGAGAGGTAGCAAGACTCTCCGTTATGCTGAGCGCCGCGGTTAGAAGAGATTTATCTGGGCTGCACATAGCGATCCGTTTTCTGTGCGAAGGGTTCGGGATCTATCCCTAGAGAAATAAAAATAGATCAGTTCACTTTGGCTATATCTTTACATTTACACGGCCGCTTGTGAGTTAGAGTGACCCGCTCATGGTTATTGTCCGATGGCCATAATTTTGGAGAGATGGATAGCTGTTCAGGAACTTGTCTATTCTTACATCGATCACAAAAACAAATAGACAGTGCATCGTCCTTTAATTCTCAGCTGTTAGGCTCAGTTTGTTCCCTCGCTTTCTGCGGCTACCAAACCAGGTGATACGTCAAGCTTGTTTCAACACTCGAGATCCGCTAGACGCCCCATCAACAGAGCCGAAATCATGCCCGCACGACCATCGTTGCGGTTCGTGCTTTAGCTTCTGTCCAGCTGGGCCAACTGTGCTCTCCTCACTCTGAGCTCCGCATGCTTGTCCCCTATCTTGCCCTGAACCTCCAGAAAACGACCGTTGAGCATCGCCTTGTGTATCTCGAGTCGTTCGATCTCTCCGGGAAGGGGATGTCGCCTGAAGTAGTCGATCTGCCCTTCAATCATCCTGATTTGGAAGTAAATGTCATTCTTTTCTCCCTCCATCCGGCCAATAGTACTCTCAAGGGCGGCGATATCGTCGCAAAAGCTTTGGCATTGGGCGTAAGGGTCCATTTTGGAACGCTCAAGTTTAATGTTCTTCGTGGTTCTTCTGTGCTTTTTAGCTATTGGTGGAGATGGAGAGAAGGATCAGGCTGTAATTACTTCTCCGGGATTGGTACTCGTCCATCGAATGGAAGATATGGTAATTATGAAGTTCGCTGAGAAAGGCGCCTGAAGAAGAACGAATGGCCAATTTATGCGCCGTTCAGGTATCAGATTCACTACCGGTCCTTCTACCTTGTCTACACAGAGAAGTCGAGGGCGACTGAATCACTTGGAAAGAAACGAAAAGGAAAGTGCGACTTGTGGACTGCTAAGCACTCCGAATGGGGTTGAACAAGTGTGACCAGCGGGAACCAATTCATGAGTGATGCGGACAAAATTGGAGATATGTTTGTTGGTTTTTTCTGCGATACCAGATGTTCCTTGACAGGTTGCAGACTTCGAGCGTCTGGTCATAATTTGAATAATTTTCCAGATGTAACACCTCCGAAGGTTGCGTTCTCGGGTTCGCAAAACTCATGCGTGATGAAACGATAGAAGAAGAAGAATATTTCTTGTTGCCTCTAAACCTTTGTGAGGCTTCCGCTTAAGCTTCTATTCAAAGTTGGAAGATCGGGCATGGAAGTGAGTATGTGTGTACAGAATATGAAGGTGCGAGTGGCTGCAGAGACACAAGTAATCATACTCATTGTGAAAGACAGTGTGAGAAGAACAAAATTACTTTATTTCAATGCTAAGCATCTATGCTACAAGAAAAAAAGGCGACGCGAGCACGCAGCCTCGCCCATCTAAAAGTTGGCAAACACCCACTTGGCACCAGCCCACTGCTCCTCTCCAGAGGGCACGATCTGGTCGGGGGGCAGGACGAATCCGTTAGAATCGTCGCTGCCAGGGCGGAGCTCAATGCCCCAAGCCAGCTCGGCCTCGGCGACGTCGTAGACCCAGTCCATGCTACCACCCGCAGCCTGGTAGATAGTCTTGCAGGTAGGGCCGTAGACGAACTCGACGCCGTGGACGCTCTTGATGGCCTTGGCGAGACCTCCGGCCAGCTCCAGCTGGCGGTCCAGGTTGGCGGGGTCCGTGTTGCAGTCGTAGCCGTAGGGCGTGAGGATCAGCTGGCTGTAGGAGTGCCAGTCGACGTACCACTTGATGCCAGCGGCGTCGGCGACCTTGAGGGTGTGGTTGGTGAGGGCGGCGATCTCGGGGGTGTCACCGGCAGCCTCGCCACGGTAGGTCTCGGAGCAGGCTTCGGGAGAGGAGCCTCCGGGGATGTCCCACTGGTTGGGCCAGTTGCGGTTCATGTCGGTGCCGACGCAGGTCTTGCCCTGGCGCACCTGGCGGTTCTTGCGCCACATTCTGTCCTCCGCGGTGGTGTAGACGAAGCCTGTTTGTCGAGTGCAAGGTCAGAAGGTATCTTTTAATAATAAGAATAGGGAAAATGTAGTGAAATTGATTCTTACCATCGGGGTTGACAACAGGAATGATGTAAAAGTCGTAGTTGTCCAGAGTCGTAGCGGTGCTCTCGTCGCCGGTCTTCTTGTATCCCTCAGCGATCTTGTAGAGGAGATACTCAACAGTCTAAAACGAGGTATGTTAGCAAATGTCGGAGCAACAATCAATTAGAGAGTGACGCTGCAGCAAGCGGTCATGCTTAGGAAGCAGAGAGAGACGTACGACACCGGTGATCCACTCGCGAGCATGGACAGTGCCATGCCAGATGATGGCAGGCTTCTTGCCAGCGCCCTCCTTGCCGTAGAGGTGGATGCCCTTGATGTCGCGGCCCTCGACGGACTTTCCAGCGACGAAGGTCTCGGAGTTGTCGGGAAGGTAGGCACTGATATCATCAAGGAACTGGTGGTGATCTGCAAGCTCATGGTACGAGTTGAAGTACGAGATGTCTGGAAGCTCGGCAGACGAATTGGCGTTGAAAGCCTTGACGGATGCTAAGAGTGGCCATCCTTAGTTATTTCAATTTGTACGGAGCCTGAGCAGTGGGCGAATGCATACCGCGATATGGCTTGAACTGGCCCTCCAGAGCGATATCGGCGCCCAGATCCTCATGGACGACGTGCGTGTTCAGACCAAGGGCCTCAAAAGCTTTGATGCTTTCAGGGGCGACGGCGATCTCAACGCCCTTGCGGGCATTCTCAACACTGAGAGAAATGAAGGAGATGTCAGAGAGAGCTTTCTGGACGCCGGCATAGTCGAGCTCATCGTCAATGCGGAACGCCTTGTAGCCGTCGTAGGAGACCTTGGCGGCGGCGAAAGGAAGGGCGAAGCCCAGTGCCGCAGTGAGAAATCTCATTTTGTCTGTGACTGGTTGGATTTGGGGTATCCTACGGTGTCAGAGAGGGGCCAATCGATAGTTGGATGGCGAAAAAAGAGACGGGAACGTGAGTCTGGAAGACAGGAGTGAATGGGGGAGGGGATGAAGTTTTAAGGCGATGTTTGTTTCGGATGACGGCGGCACTTTTAACAGCTACACTGCTCCGGCCTACCGTTTACGTACGACGATGACATCGGTCCCCTGGCACAAGCACGGGAATTATGTCAAGAGAGCAAGTGATCGCCAGGCTGAGCCCTGTGCCGCTCCTTACTGCACTGCATGAAGGGAAGTTTTCATTGTGACAGGCAGGCGGGAAGGGATCAAGCTGTAGCTCCAGCTGCGCCCAACCCAATCATAGCAGGCAGTCTCAGCTTTCCCCGTGGCACATGCCCCAAACAGACATGGATTCCCCTCTGGCTGCCTGTCTAGCTCAGCCAGCTTGGTTTCTGGTTGATTGGGACGGACGGATCAGGGGGCGAAATCCACAGCGTCCACTGTTTTCTGGAGATGGTCCTTTTGGGTGGCACGAGCGCCTGGACGTGATCTGCACTGATCAGCATTCTTATGTGCCTATAATCAAGCTTACCTTCCTGTTTGAAGGATGGATCCAGGTACAGTGGCTTAGGCAGAGGAACTCTTGTCTGGCCGACGGGTCTGAGAGTCTCATGAGTTAGTGGACGACGACAAGAGCTACGATGTTCATGACTACAGTACGGCGAAATACAAGATGGTGGTACTGGAACACTCCGTCAGTCAATCACCCACTCACCCAATCAATCGATGATGAAGCTGCATGGTGGCAGCCGTGGCTTGCATACACTATCGAGTGTGGCGGTCTCTAATAAAAGAACAATAGTAGGCTGATTTCTAGCGGTTGTATTGTTGTTTCTTCGGTGTGCCGGCTGACCCTGTCTCAAATGTGTTTGGGGCCGCGCTGGTGAAACAGAGATGACATATGAAAATGCATGTGCACATCGTAAAGATCCTGGATCCTTGTGATAAGATAAGATGCGCTCATCGATGAAATTACAAACACTACGATGACCTCAATCATCATCCAACAGTTCATTCGTGAGAGCCTCGTAGCAGTGTGTCAGTACCTGCTTACTCAAGTTCAATCTCAAAGTGTTCATCGCGCCGCTCAAACATATCTTTGAATTAATAACCCCTTTGGCTGGAGCGGCTTTTTCTTCAAGCAGTCGTTTATATTCAGATACATCATCCTTCTATGTACGCTCCTGCGCCATATGTCGAATCATTGTGCCACATCGATTCTTCATAAGAGCCTTGCTGGAACACGGTCGTGATCTTTGGGCTACCTATCCAAGACTGATTTCCCTCCAGTCCAGTCTATTCACAGGTCTCACCCAAAACACGTCATCCGGCCAGTCCGAGTATGTCCCGCTCGCCCCAAGCACCGTCACGTCCACTCCCCAGACTTCTTTCAAGTTGGGCAGCCGCTTCGCCTTGTTTTTCATGAACTCTTCGATTTGGTAATCAAAGTATGGATTCGCTCCCAGAATGTAGCCATAGATGCATAAGTACTCGAGGCTCGGAGGCAGAATATCGATGAGATGAGATGGAGGCGGTCGGTAGAGCTCGTACGGAGGCTCCCATGGATGCGTGTAGCCCATGATTGCTTTGATGCTTATGCTCAGACGCGTGAGGGCATAGAAGTCGTGGAAAGACCCGATCGTCGTGCCGGGCCTGTCGTTGGGCTTCAGCACCTGTACTGGCCCAGATGATATATCGGCATCCATTTGGAAATACTCGTCCCCGTACACGCTTTTACTGTAATTGAACCACTCCCAGTCATACCCCCAGTGGTTTATGAGGTCATCACGCTCCCAGTGTTTGGGCTCGATGAATTGGAAGCCGCAGTCAATGTCCAGGTCCAGCAACCGCAGCGTCTTCTTGTGCGCTTCGAGCGCTCCGCCCAATCTTGAAGGGTGAAAGAAGACCTCGTCGCCATGATAGAAGGAAAGCCCTCCTACAGATATCTCCAGCTCCTCAAGTGCCTTAGGTATAGAGACTATTGTATCAAACGTGTGGGCATAGAAGGCCGAATGCCCAATGTGGATTTTCTTGATGTTGCTTGTCCACGGGACGAAGATGGTCCTTTCGGGTTCCCATTCCTGCACGCCATCCATGGCGAAGGACTCAATCGCAGGAAGCCGGTGAAAGTATTGGATGTACTCCAACACCTCGATGACGACGAAGTTATTGTCCATGTCGCCACAGACTGTGCCATCAATTCTCACAACATTCCTCAGGTTCTGCAGCCCGGGCTGGGAGAGCAGGCCATAATTGGATTTGATGAGATAGCCACGTATCGGGCGTTCGTACGGGCCTACATATCCGATGTGTAGAGTAGAGATGTTATGGCAGATGGAAAACAGCACAACCGCGGCAGACTCTGCAAAGTGGGAATTGTACTCATCGCGGAGACGTGCTGGTCCGTCCCAGGCGCCCGTTTGCTCATAAATCTTCCATCTGATCCAGTACAGCGTGTCCCTAGTAAGCTCACCGCCAAATTCCAAGTTGTGTATGTAACTCTCGATGGCATTGTAAGCACTGTCGAATACTGGCGAGAACAATTCTACTCCTTCCCTTGTGAGCTGGTCAGGTGTCGAAGGAGCATAAGTCGTCCCATCCCAACGATCAAGGTCAAGAATGATCTCAGTGACGGTCGCTGCAAGCGAGGGCTCCTGGACATAAGCCCGTAGAAGCGGCATCAGGCGATCGAAGTCTGCCCCAGTTGCGATACGTATGCTCTGGTAGGCGGGTATGTGAAAAGGGCTTGAGGTTGGTAGTGCGGCAGCGAGACTGCCCTGGCTAGCAGGGCATTGGAGAGGCTGTCCAAAAGATGTCGGAAGGTCAAGAGGTTGTGCGGGATGTCCCAGGCAGGGCCATGATAACAGCAGCACGAGGGCAGCATGCAGAAGCACGGCACTGAGAGTAGTACGCCAAATCATGGTGGTATTGGCGGTTCATATAGGTAATCAAGGTATGTAGGTGTATGTAGCCACGATCACCAGCGCCGATCATGGCCACACCAGCATTTCGACGTGACTCTCTAGCAATTGAGCGCACAAGACCTGGCCACCGCCTCTTGATCATAGTCAAGAGAAGGATTCAATGCCAGGGAAAAATCAGCCAAGCATGAATCCAATATTACCGCTCAAAATTACCTAATCAACATGGTTCGCCAACAGCTCGATCCTCCCTCGGTCACGATTCTTTGAAGCATCTCTCCAGCCACTCAATCAGGTAGTAATTATCATTGATATAAGTTGGCATCACGCGCTGCAGAGTATTCCCCATTCCATCTTCAAATTCTTGGACTCTCTCAATTGCCACGCCACAATCCAAACTCCGCTCTGTAGTATCTTATTAAAGACCCTACAGTACTGAGATTGATGCAGGAGAAGGAGCAATTATTTGAATAACCGTGTTCAATGCAGGCTGATTCAACTACCAAAATAAACAAATGGGGCCCAGTATAGCGGTTCTTCATCGCATCTCAACATGTCTCTTCCTCGCTTCAGTCCAGATCTTTGAGTTCTGCCCCTTGATCTAATCACTCGACTCTTCTTGTCCTTGATAGTTCCTTTCGATTTCGCATCACTGCGTGTAGGTTCATCAGCCCCATCATCGACCATCCACTGATCACGAAGAATCCTAGTGGCGCGGTGGAGCCCCTCGGCAACAGACTGGTCAGTAGAGTTACAGTCTTTGATCCATCTATAAGTCATCTCCGCTACCTTGACACAAATCCCATCATTCACCTTTCGCAACGTCCCTATGACGTTCCTGAAGCCAGCTAGCTGGCACGCGCCGATCAAGTGAAGCCCTTCGTTTAGGAGCTCTTCATCCTCAACACGACCCGTGCTGCATGCCGAGAGATAGGCGAGAAACGGGGCTCTCTCTTGGAGTTTTAGGTTGAAGAGATCTTGGACTGTCAGTGGTGCGTCTTTCATAACTAATGAGTTCCTAGACGGGTCGAGGGGGTGAGTATTTCCGTGGCCTGCAAAGTGGAAGATCTCACACTCAGCTAGCTTGGCAAGAACTTGGTCGCGGTAGGGATTTGGCCGTTCTATATCCATGTGCATTTCGGCACACAATTTCTCAAGTTTCTGGATCTCCTCTGGGGCATGATAGAGCTCCTGCACTCCGACTAGAACAGCCTTTCCGGGTTGCTGCGATGCGGGTACCCTATTGGCACGCCGGCTATTGATAAGAGCTCTCACCGAGGAGCTGTAACTTGAGATCACACGGTCTATCACCGTTCTCGTTGAGCCGGGATAGTGGTATCCTGCTGCATGTATGGGGAAGAATGACAGTGAGCCAGTTGGAATCCAGAAAACCCGAGGCCAGCAAGAGCCAGCAGGCACTCCAAGATAGCCTAGCGACTCGAGTATCGGGCCAGCGGTAGTATCCCATAACCATTCCAGTATATCACGGTCGATTTCAGGCCTCGCTGAGAACTCCCAGACATCGAAGTAGTCTAATTTAGGTAGCTCTACTGACCACATCGTTCTATTTTGAATTATCAAGGCATCTGACCGGGTGTAATGCAGATTGATAATCACTACCGGCCCACAAGCTGCAGCCGACATCAACTCATCCTCGCCTGGGGGCAATAAGAAACTGCTGAAACCGGGCAGGCTCTGGATACTCCTAATTGTAGATTCCAGCTTCCGGCCAGCCTCGTGACGTGGGTTTGCAAATCCGTTGATCTGTATAGAGCCAGTATCTAATTGATCACGAAGTTGAACAAATTCTTCCGATAATTTTGGATGTGATGTCTTGAGGTCGAGGACATCAACGCGAAGATTACTCATAGAGCTGATAATGACACCTCTGGCCAGTTCGAGGTTCTGAATTGCCTTGGATGGACTCTTGTTTGCAGTCAATGAGACTACTCCCATGAGAGCTGACAATCCGGAAATCCGCTTTAGTAACTCTTGCTTATCCGAGACCTCCAATGACCATGGAGTTAGTTGAGATAGCAGAGAGAGTGTTTCAGTTGCGATTTCGTAGGCAATGCTAGCATCGTGAATTTTTGCCAATGATTTCCCATAAGTCTCTTCACCTTTGGCTCGATCACTGGAAGCTGCATTGCTAGCAGTGTAAACTTTCATTGCAAAGTCGGCATCCACGAGGAAAGTAGCGTAAGCCCTTCCAGCGATTATTCGGTCCCGCACGGGAGCATGGGGATGCTTGAATGCTTGTTCATGTATTCCGATTGCAGCCTTCAGATCTGATGCCATCTGGAGTCTCAGGAAACGCCGGCCGTATTGGTACCCAAGTCTGTTCAGCCGAGAACACTTATGCTGACTATCATTCGGAGTCAGATCCACAACCTTCTGCTCTGTTTGAATTGCAGTTTCATAGTCAGCCTCTGATCTTGTTCTGTCTGCCTTGGTGATGTAGATCAAGCCTAGGGAGAGCAGAGAGCGTGGTAGGTCTAGGTCGCCTCTGGGGAGAAGATCCACGGAAGTCCGACCGTAGCTGATCGCTGCTTCAAGATCTTCCCACGTTTCTTCCTTTCCGTACCTGGCGATGTATGAGCTTGATAGATTCTGGAAAAGCCCAGCCTGGACCTTTTTACCCTGATCTTTACTGGCAGAGAGAGCATATTTGACCCTTTGAATAGATTCTTCAAAGGAATCGTTACACCCTGTTATTTCGTATGTCTTCATCAATGAATGTGCCAACATTTCTGATACGCCAATGATGGTTCTTTCATCATTTGCTTTCAATTCCAAGGCTTTCCGAAACCTCAGTACAGATTGGTTGATATCTGCCGATTCACTTGTTCGGCCAAACCTTATAGCATATTTAATTCCCAACCTTCCATTTCCTGAAGCCTGGAGAGCATCGTCTTGCGGTACAGGTTGAAGGGCTTTCTTGACCACTCGGATTGAGATATCAAGATCTGCTATCGACCCAAGCACTTCATACCTGTCTGCATAGCCGGATGCAAGTGCTAATAGTAGATAAAATATCCGCTTGGCGGGCGATGAGTTTACTGGAATAACGCTTAGAGCCGCTGAATAGAAACTTATCGATGACTCGACGTCTCCTAACTCTCCCAATCGATAGAATCTATTCTGAAAGGCCTTTCCTAGGTCCTGGAGGGTACCGGCTCTATCCAGGTCACTCGTATCCTCTTTAGCAGAAATCTGTTCCGCCTCTTGGAGTAGCTTTAATGACATATCTAAATCTTCGAAATCTTCAACATCCTCGAAACGCCTAAGATACATTCTTCCCAAGCTGACAAGAACTTGCCGACGTTGAGGATCATTTCTTGGTATCAGATTCAACAATTGTACAAAATGATGTATAGAATTACTCAAATCATCGATGCTTTCTTCCGAATGGTGGTCCCATCTCAGTTGGTAGAATTCGGCTAAGATGCCTCGCAGATGGAATGGTAGATGATCCTGGTGGCCTTTTTTCTCTAAGAGGTCTTCGAGTAGTTGCGTAGAATCGTCCACAAAGGTCGCATCGGGTGATATCACAGCCCTTAGGTGGACAGCCACGGCCAGATCAGTCAGGTTGGGTATCCGTGATGAAGCCTCTGGCGGTGTGATATTAACAGCTGATTGGTAGTTCTCGATGCTTTTTTCGAGGTCAGACATCTCATCCGACAGTGCAAATCGATTGGCGTAACTGCGACCGAGATTGTGGAAGTCCATGGCTCGTGCAAGATCGTCATTACCGAGGCCAAGGGCATTTTGGAATCGCTGGATTACTGCATCCAAATTCTTGATGTCCTCGAAGTCTATTTGTTTGGTAAAATGTTCCAGAGACAGCTCCATAAGATGTCTCGATACTGGAACCGAGAGACCACTCCTCGCTTTGCGATATCGCGTTGAATACAGATCTTCCATTACTTTCCTGATGCACCGATCCGCGGTTAAATCAAACTTGGTAATACCTCTGAGGGAACAAGCAACGCTGAGAGTAACTCGAGCATGTTTGTAAGATGTTCGGGAGGGGTTTTATGATTATCAGCAGCCGACGTGTCAACATGTCCCTCGATATGCTTACTTGCATATTATGCTTTGTCATGCGATTAAGCCACCACGTATGGTCAAATGTAAGAAAACAGCACCCTGGTAGGAGCATAAGTTAGTACCGTAATGGTATTTCTTTGATCTCTTCTATCAAACCCTGAAAAGCCACCCTGATTTCGCGAAAATAGTGTCCAAGACTCCAAGCCCAAAATTCAACCATTTTGATTTATTTGACCTTGAGGACAGGTTTCCCAAAGTTCTCCCCCTCCAGCATTCCTACCAGACTAGTTGCAGCATTCTCTATACCCTCTGTTACGTGCAGCTTTGCTTGAAAGGAACCCTCGTGAATCCAGCCCTGTACTCTTTTCTGATGCTCCTGGTGGTACGCTGGCCCGTATTCAGCGTCCCAAACCAGAAAGCCCTGCATTTTGATTTGGCACGCGTCCAGCTGGCCCAGACCTCGAACGGGCTTTTGTTCTAATGGTGGGATTCCGTATGTGGTGATCTACAACTTGTTAGCTGCTTTGCCTTGCAATAGAAGCGAAAAATTAGAAACACATTGCACGTTGCTTCGTTTCACATACCATGCCGCAGACAACGATTCTTCCATGTCTTTTCATGTTGACTAGAGAAGCCTCAAGGTGATCTCCGCCCACATTCTCGTAGTAAATATCAAGGCCGTCTGGTGCCAATCTCGGCAGAGCATCGTACGGGCTCTCTTTTTTGTAGTTGAACCCTGCATCAAAGCCCAGCTCCTCGGTGATGAATTTGAGCTTCTCGTCCGATCCGACGGACCCGATCACTGTCAGACCCTGGCGCTTGGCAATCTGGCCGACGACCTGGCCTACCGCTCCCGCCGCCGAGCTGATAAAGATGGTCTCGCCCGCTTTTGGCTTGCCCACCTCGTACAGCCCCGAGTAAGCTGTCAGCCCAGGCATACCGAGCGCACCAAGGAAGTGTGCAAGAGGAAGCCCGTGCGGGTTATCAATCCTCTGCAACTCGGCGTCTTTGAGGCTGTCGATGCGGGCATATTGAGCAATAGGGACGTTGGCAAGAATCGTCTCGCCTACTTCAAACCCATCGGCATCGCTCTTCAAAATCTTCACCACAGCCGTCTCGATGACGTGAGAGCCTACCGGGAACGGGTCAATGTTGTATTTGATCTTGGGATCCCGCATCATAATTCGTAGGTATGGGTCAAGAGAAACGTAAAGAATCTCAACAACCAGTCCATTCTTGGGAACGGTGTCGAGGTCGATCTCGAGATCCTCTACGACGATGTGTTCCCCGGCGACAAGGGAAGCCTGGGGAATTTTCTTATACACAAGCGTTTTGTTAGTCGTCATTGTCGTTAACAAATCAATATCTTCGTAGGATGGAGGATTCAAAATTCGAATTTTTCGTGCTGATTTCGCTTTCCTTTTGCTACCATCATCAGGATCCTCAGCAAGACTCTTTATAGTTTCTCCCATACGAAACTGCGCCTACTCCTAAATGACCTGATTTCTGATTTATAATATGAAACAATTCATGCCGAACCTGTCCCCCAATCAATATTGCACATTTGATGGCAAAAGTCGTCTTCATTGTCTCGTTGAGAGGAGGGATTCGAGCCGAAGCCGAAGCCGATGTTAAGACATACTTTGACTTTGATGACAAATGCAGTTCGGCTTCATTTAAGATTGAGAAGTGGATCACGCAAGCCGCGAACAATAAGCTTCTTTTTATGGTCTGATCAATAAGCTTGATGACTTTGGTTGTATAATAATACCATAATCATTAGGAATGCTACTCCAGTGAGTTTCTCGTTTGCTTTCTGCATAAAAAAGATGACATTTTATAAAAACCTTAGCCTGAACACCGAGTCCAAGAAAGGGAGCAGAAAATCGAACCCCAATTAAGATGCGGTACAGACTGCATCTCAGTCTCCCCAAAGTGAATGATGATCAATATCTCTCCCGTGTACAATCCACGTCAATCTTTGCTAGTGTTCGCTCCTCACTATAATCCTCGCTCCGAAACACCCAGGATGTGCTCCCCCGCGTCCTCCCATGAACAAATCGATGATACTCGTCCCGGCACTTGTACTTCCCACCCTTGATCGAGTGGTTATGATACAGGTGGCATTGCTGCTCGTCCACAATCGCTTCACCATGCCCGACTATCATCTCAACATCAACATCTCGCGATCTGAGCCGTGCCGGCAGTGCTCCTGATGTCCACGTATCCGTCTTCTTTTCTCCGCTATCCAGGTCCGGGGGGATGCGCCATGACACAAACGCCAGCCGCCGTTCCACGTCCTTCCCGTAAGGGGTCCAGAGTGTGCGGTAGATCGTATCCCATAACACCCCCATCCGGAGGCCATCGGGGATTGTCACGACATCGAACGGCGCATCCCCGTACCGCTGAGACTGTCCATTCTCCGCATACTCTATGTATCCCACGCTTCGCGGCGGCGGCTGCGAGACGAGCATCCTGCGCCAGGTGGCACTGGCACAGGCGAAGTGCTTGTGCCGAACCCGGCCGCCGCTCATGTCCGCTATGCTCAGGTGCATGTCCTGCATCGCTTTGATGCTCGTGTAGCCCGTCCCATGGCGCCCGACACGAGGCTGAGAATCGGCAGAGCTTGTGCCGCCGCCCTGCACCTCTGTTCGGCCAAGCATGGGACCGAAATGCTTATAGAGTAGAGGGTTGATGATGCAGTCGCCTCGCGTCTCCTGGAGCGTCTTGCTGGTATCCGGCAGGAGGAAGAGGTGGCGCTGGAGCGGGCGCGAGGTCTCGATTCGGCGCTGCCATGTTTTGCTGACTCGCTGAGCAGCCGTGAGTATGAGCTCAATCGGTAGTCTGAGCAAGATGTCGTCGAAGAGCTCTGTGGTGGCGAAGACGGCTTCCTGTGCGGGTGAGGCCTGTGCGGGGGGCGAGTCTGCTGTTGCGACACCCACGACGGGCGGTGTCGGTGGTGCTGCGCAGTTGCTATTGTTTCTTTTCTTCTTCCCCATCTTAAAAGCCCAGTAGTTGTTCTTTAAAGCCCAAGGATCCTCTTTCGCGTGTTGAGAAGAGAAGAAGTACGCGGTCAAGATGGATTAAGGGCATTAGATGGTGACTCATTTCCAAAACTAAACTCCTCTAAAATCTGGAGGGTAATTTCAAGGGAATATGGTGTGGGGCTACGGGCATAATCCTCGCTTGTCGCTTATTGCCAAGACAGACGAGAACCACTGGGCCAGGAAGAACGAAGTGGTGATGATCAGAAATAATGGGATAGGTACTCGGCCAATTCATACGAGATGGCTAGATAATCACGATGATCCACGATTAAATTGGATGAGAGTCTCACTATAAATAAGGTATATCAAGTCTGATTCCAGACACAATTTAGTAGAGATGGAGGCTTATTGCAATTCTGTCTACCTTGAAAGAGGTTGCGCATCGTTTGATTCAACTAAAACTCAGGTAACTATTCGTAGTAGTCGGTAAAACTACCAAAAAGATCAAAATAGGGTTAGCATAAGGGCTTGACATAAACATCGATCTTGTATATATTTCAAGAGGCAGGAACCAAGTTAAGGAAACCTAGAAGTTGAACACGAGAGTGGCCAGCAATTATCCGCCGACGTTCCCTTTACCGGTGCCTCTCATTCCCCCTTATCAAGTTATCAGCCCAAAGGCGCTAAGTCGAACGAAATTATTCCCAAATTTTCAAGATCAAAGCTAATATTCCATCCTTTCCTCAGCTCTTTCATCAAGTATACAGTCTTCTAACTGATCATATTTCAAAGATACCCCACATGTAAATCAGACATGCAGCTTGAGTCGAGATATTGCCGTCATTTTTGGGCTTCAGGCGCGGGAGAAAGGGCAGTGACTGATATGATGAGGCAGGATACAATCAAAGCGGTGGCGCACTGGGGGCCTAGTTCTCAAGATCAATTTATCCTAGTTCTATTTAAGATCACTGAAATCATATCAAGATGCCATTATGATTTGTCCAAGACGAGGGTTATCTGGTCAAGTGGTTTAGCATCCATCAAGTTGGGGACGCAAAGAATGCCGGGTTTTAGAGGTGCTATATCAAAGACCAGGTACCAACAATACGGTGGCGAGTGTACTATGATGAAATCAGGTGGAAGTGATGAGAGAGAGGGAGAGCGGTTGGGAACTCGTCTTTCTACGAACCAGACGCAAGAACCAAGCACTACCCTACATGATATCTCATGGAGCATGTGTTGCTCGAGATGAGATTGAAGAGATATTCCCGGTCCCAGAATTGTCTGTTAGTGAAGTCACTGGATGTGAGGTATGTGGGATTGCTAAGGAGAGTCAATTGCCTCGTCGCCACATTGCAGTTGCTAGTTGGTCACTTGTCGGATCGGCCGGGCATCCTCATGGTCATCAAGCCCATCCATGGCCAGTGCTATTCAAAATTGAATCTTTTCTCTTCTTCAAGTCTTATTTTTCCTTCATTGAAGATGAGGAAATCCATTGGTATAGGGTAAAAGTTGATTAGTGGTAGAGAGCATAGGGTCATGATAGCCTCCAAGCTAGGTACCTTATCGCCTAGTGACCAGGGAGCTAGTGCCCCAAAAGGTGCTAATTTTTAGTGGCTGATTCAGCATTTCTGGGGGCCGGGGAAGGCTTTTCAGCCCGGCGGCTGTCGCCGATGCCGACCCGTCCTTGCCGCCTCCGCGGAAATGCAACGCAAACCACGAGGTCTTATCTTCAAAACCTCCAGATTATCTGGGATATGGGATCATTATCTCGTCGGTTTGGTCAGAGCCCTTGATTCCGTGTGTAATTGAGATAACAGGCATCACTCAGCAGCCCAATCTATTGCCTCGTCCACGAACGAAGACGATGCCTGTGGCGGGCGCTCAAGCTCACCGGTCTCCACCGATGGCCGAACCATTCAACAATCAGCCGCTTCATCCATTCATCACCGGCGATGAATTGACTTTCCCGATTCATCTCCCTGCAATTGCTGCCCCAGTCTGACTTTCCCCTCACCGGTGCCACACCAAAGCAAGAAAGGGTTGCATGAAATCGGCTTATCCTCGCAGCACGTCCCCGCATCCTCGCATACCGGAAAGGCCTCAGAAGCAGGGATCACGGGAAGTGACAGTCGTGATGGAATTCACAGTTTGACGACGAGGAAACGCATTCAAAGCGTCGTGTTCTGTATGTCCTTGGCCGAAGACCAGGCCATCGCTCCAAGGGCGTCCAGCTAAGATTCAAGGTTGCATAAAACCGTCAAATATTTCTCGTGTGCTAGTCCATAATCCGACAAAAGTTCGACCAATTTTGGCGCCCGTCCATATATCCATCCACCACATCTGCACCTTTCTCTCCACTTGGTATCCCATTCGGATAGCTCCATAGATAGAGAGCTCTGTTCGGGCCGTCTGCAGCTTCAGTGGCCACACTATTTATTGCCTGTCCCTCCCTCTTCCGAACAGTTATCTGATCTGATCTTCTCTCCTCAATCTTCCTCGCGAGGAGCTTAATTATCAGCTGTGCAGTTATATGATACTAGTAATTCACCCATATAACCATACCCATGCATCACTCTACTCTGCTCGCCCTCGGCCTGGTTGCCGGGCAGGCTGTCGCTGAGACTGTCCACGGCGTGGTCGTCTTCTCCCGTCATGGCGATCGTAAGCAACCTCACCCGTCTATCAATCTCATGAATCATTCAGTGACTAAGTGATTCCCTTCAGGTACTTCTAAGCACTACTCTGGGTACGGACTGACGTCCCTCGGTGCTTCCCAAAACTTCCAGGTCGGCAGTGATTATCGTGCTCGCTACCTGGAGGCTGGGTCTGAACATCAGATCTTGGGCATCTCCCCTGATGTATACAAGCCCTCGCAGATCTTTGCCAGTGCTCCCACCAGCGGCATCCTCTCCAACACGGCCACGGCCTTCCTCCAGGGCCTGTACCCTCCCCTGGCCGACATCAACCAGGAGCTCTCCATCAGCAAGCTGAACAACGGCAGCGACAGCACCGCCCCCCTCGAGGGCTACCAGTACGTGCTCCTCACCAGCATCGGCGCCGAGTCGCCAGACACCATCTGGATCAAGGGCGGCGTGGGCTGCCCGTCCTACACCAGCGCCTCCAAGTCATTCAAGGACAGCGCCGACTTCAAGGCGCGCTCGACGGCCACCAAGGACTTCTACGCCGGCTTCTACGACGCCCTGTCGCCTGGCGTCGCCGACCTCAAGCCCGAGAACATGACGTACAAGAACGCCTACGACATCTTCGACCTGGCCAACACGGCCCGCATCCACAACTCGTCGTCGGCGGCGCGAAACATCTCCGACGCGGACATGTTCCAGCTGCGCACTCTCGCCGACTCGGCAGAGTTCGGGACCAACTACAACGCCTCGCAGCCCGCGCGGTCCATCGGCGCCCAGACCCTCGCCGGCGGCGTCCTCGCCCAGCTCAACCAGACCGTCGCCACCAAGGGCAAGCTCAAGTTCTCCCTCTTCGCGGGGAGCTACGACACTTTCCTGTCATTCTTCGGCATCACGGGCCTGACCTCGCTGTCGACCGACTTCGAGGGTCTGCCCGACTATGCCTCCACCATGGTCTTTGAGCTCTTCACCGACGCCACGACAGACAAGTTCCCCGATAATGTCGCGGACCTCAAGGTCAGGTGGATGCTGCGCAACGGTACCGCGGGGGCGTTGACTGCCTACCCTCTTTTTGGGCAGAAGGAGGAGGCGCTCCCCTACACGCAGTTCCGCAGCGAGATGGACAAGCGAGCCATCTCTGATGTCAAGACGTGGTGCACCACCTGCTCCTCGCAAGAACAGTTCTGCGCCGCGTACAGGACCAGCGACGACGACGACGCCACGGTCCAGACCAACGGCGGCTCCAAGAGCGGCATGTCCAACGCCGTGGCCGGCGTGATTGGCGCCATGGTCACCCTGGGTGTTGTGGCTATTGTCGGTGCGATTGCGTTTGTGCTGCTGAGGAAGAGGAGGGCGCAGGCTGGCGCAGTGGCGGGTGAGGATATGGAGAAGAAGCGGAGTCTTGACAGCGGAACTCCTTCAGCCTGATGGTGAGAAGGCAGTGTGTGTGTGAGTACTTGAAAATGACAGTGTGATGGATGCGCGGGATTTGTATGTATGTAATGATTCCATATGACTTTAATGACAGATTGTGAACCGACAGAGGCCCTGTTTCATTCAATGGCTGTAAATCTCAGCTACGTCTATGATCCATCATGTGAATTGTCTCGCCTCGGTAATCAATATCCAAAAGGAATGAGGAGAGTGTGGTGGCTGCATGTAGTAATAGCGTAACATTCCAAAATCCTGGGGTAAATGTGGTCTGCCTCGGTTGATCGCTCATCCCCGATGATGATGGGGCACGATCTGCGTAGTGTGTGTATATATTCACATCATGGCCATTGATTAGCCTTTAGTGAGAGATTAGATTTCCATTACGCAGAATCACTCATTGAATTGTCCGGAAAGAATCAGAGAGCAAGATGCCACGCCCAATCCGCATTGCCAACTGCTCAGGCGCCCTCAGTAAGTTCTTACGTGATGGTGGTCACTGTTGATTGCCGTAATGTTAACCGTCTCCCCAATAGCTGACCCTGGGGTTCACATGTACAACCAGGCCAGGTATGGGTACGTAGATGTAATAACGGGGGACTATCTAGCCGGTAAGTTGGCCGGTGACTCCCCGGTGCCCACGATGCTGAGACGGAAATTCAGAGGCAAACTTGGCCGAGAGCACCCTGAAAAACGCGCCGCATGCATGGGTCAATACAGCCTATGAGGGGATCAAAATGTCGCTGGACGTCATCAATGAGAAGAGGATCAAAGTAATCGTCAATGGAGGTGCCCTGGATCCAAAGGGTCTGGCAGAGGAGATAGACAAGCTTGTGAGTGAGACTCGCCTCAAGAATGGGCTCTCTTCTAACAGCAAATCAAACCACAAGGTCAAAGAGAAACGCCTAGATCTCACGATAGCCTACGTCCAGGGCGACAATCTCATGCACAAGGTCCATACTCTTCTAAAACCGTCATCCACGTCTTCATCATCCTCGGACAAAGACAGCTCACCTGCGTTGCATCACTTGGACCACGACAATCCATCCGTCACTCTCGACCAGTCGGCGCTCTCGTTCCTCCAACACCCAGATACCATGCCCATAGTCTCCGCAAACGCCTATCTCGGCTACCGGGCCATCAAACACGGGCTCGATCAAGGCGCCGACATCATCATCTGCGGTCGTGTCGCCGACGCCTCCCCCGTCATCGCCGCCGCGGCATGGTGGCATGCCTGGGATCCAACCGACTACGACCGCCTCGCCGCCGCGTTGGTGGGCGGCCACCTGATCGAGTGCTCTACATACGTCACGGGTGGGAACTTCTCCGGCGCGTATAGGTACCCTGCCGAGACGTTTGTCAATCTGGGCCTCCCGATCGTGGAGGTTGCCGGAGACGGGGTGTGCGTGGTGACCAAGACCGAGGGGACGGGGGGGCTTGTGACGGCGGATACGGTCAAGTGCCAGTTCTTATACGAGCTTCAGGGAGATGTATACCTGAACAGCGATGTCAAGGCTGACGTGTCGGGTGCCAAGGTGGAGGAGGTGGCAAAGGACCGCGTGCGTGTTGAGGGAGTGAGGGGATTCCCGCCGCCGCCCACGACGAAACTTGCCGTCTTCTACCGGGGCGGGTACCAGAATGAACTTTTGCTAAATGCATCCGGGTACGCGACGCCGCACAAGTGGGATATCCAGGAGCTGCAGGTGAGAGAGAAGCTGAGGGAGTGGCAGGTGTTGGACAAACTGGACGTGCTTGATTTCCAGAGGGTGGGCGTGCCGATGCAAAACCCGGACAGCCAGTTGGCGTCGACGACATACATGCGCATCTTTGCGCAGTCCAGAGATAAGAGAGTGGTTTCCATGGTTGCCGCCGCGTGGAATTTCACGTTCATGACGCATTTTGCTGGTGAGTACATCGTGAGTGGTCTGTTGGGCTGGATGAAGCTGACGATGTTGAAGGCATGCACGGCTCGCTGGATTGGCGCACTGCAGCTCCGAAGCCATTCTTAGCATATTACCCGGCCATCGTACCGCAAACTGAGATTGAAGAGTCCATCTCCATCATCCAGCCGGGAGGGGTAAACAGAAGCATTGTCGGCCCTCCCGTCGCCACAGAGCCACTCCAAGCCAGGGCAAACTACGAGACTGCTCAGCCCGTGCCGCTGGACTCGTTCGGCCCAACCATTTCACGCCCTCTGGGCGACATAGCCCTGGGCAGATCAGGAGACAAGGGAGCCAACGTGAATCTCGGTCTGTTCGTCGACAAGCCCGAGCAGTGGGACTGGCTGCGGTCCTTCATGACCCGTCAGAGGCTGAAGCAGATGATGGGCCGCGACTGGAGGGATCGGTATTTCATCGAGCGGGTGGAGATGCCAAACATCCACGCCGTCCACTTTGTTATTTACGGGCCTCTCGGGAGGGGCGTGAGCAGCTCAAAGCTCCTTGATTGCCTGGGGAAGGGGTTTGCAGAGTACATCAGGGCGGTTCACGTGCCCATCCCGACCAAGTTTCTTCCATGGGCTGAGCAGGCGAAGCTGTGAATCACTGACCAAATATACATTGTTACCTCATACTTTCTTTCCTAGCGTGAGATTTTACAACTGGTCCCAAATGTAACGGCCTGTTACGTGGTCGATCGTTTGCCTATTGATCAAATTCCCAAAAGCTTTGCTCGTTGTTAGTCCATTCACTTGCCTCCCATCCATCAGTTACTTTTTTGCGCCTTTCTGTAATATCTTCTTTTCTTAGGTATATTAAGAGTGCAAGCTCTTTCAGTCTTCCACTCTGTTTTTCTACTTCATCTTCCAACTACAGCCTCTCATTTCTCAACCACTGTCAAGACCGTTCATCTTGCATTTCTCACACAACTTTCATCCAGTAAGCAAGCCAATACCCAAAGGCATCGATCTAGAACTGACTCTCTCCAGACCAAAGCACCAAAAATGCCTCCCAAACCCGAGGAAATATGCTCGGCCAACGACATTGATCCAGAGGGCCTCAACGTCCGCTTCTGGGGAACCCAATCTCCTTGCACCAAGGTCCACGCCGCTCCCGACAACTCTCAGTCCGTCATGGACCTCGTCTACTGGCTCCGTCTCGGCCGCGACACCAAGCCCCGTCCATGCCGTCAGTGGCTCGACCCCAAGGGCTCTGAGCAGCCGGCCCACGCGCAGTGGCCCTACTTCCTCGAGCGCATCGGCTGCACCGAGGAGGAGCTGAAGCGAGACGAGTACGCCATCAAGTTCCCGGGCGTTCCCGAGCCGATTCCCATCGCGTCGGAGGGGCAGCTTGACAATATCCTTCGGTCTCTGACCAAGTACCTGTGTTCGACGCCTACGTACTGGTGCCAGGCTCCCCCGCCTGTTCTGTTGATCTGCAGGCCTGAGCAGGTCGCTCGGTGTGAGAGCAGAGGCTGGGTTGATTGCGTCTGGCGCGAGGCAGCCATTTTCTACAGAGCCGCTGCCGGAGTTTGCCTTCCGTGGATGGAGGAAGACGGTAAGATCAAGGTTGGGGAGTCTTTTGAGGCAACGGAGAGCGGGAACTCGGCCACTACTATGGGGTATAAAGGAGTGATCCTTTTTGAGGGCGACGGGCAGACGCGGTCATACGACAACGCTAAGGATCTGAGTGCTGTCTGGGTGCCAGACTTTGAGCCCCCTTTCTCCTAGGACTAGAGGATATATCAAGTTCTCTGCCTGTTGGGTTGTATCAGTGCGTCGGAAGGGTTGTAGAAGTGAGCAAAGATGCATCCTTTTCTCAGAACGAGCCTCCGGTCGCGATCGATTCATCCATCAAAGAGCTGAGTATATCATCTTCTTTGGTCCCAGCACTTATTTCAGTAGAAACGCAATTGCCTCGGGAGATTATGGATTGTGTTTGAGTAGTTAAGGGCTGTTGCGTAATTGAATCAATCAATGGATAAAATGGCGAAATGGCAGACATATATATGCAGATGTAGCATATTCATCAAGATTCAAGGATCAGATTAGGCCAATTACCAACAAGTCCCCGTAGCATAATCTTTAAAATATTGCTTGCTTGACAGACCCAAGGGCGTTTCATCTCAAGGTCATCTTGCGACGCAATCTGACCCCAATGAACGAAGATGAGACGAGTAAAGCCGCCAAACACATGCCAACAGCCACTCATCTGCCCCCTCACCGACTCCGTGTAGATCACAATCAGCAAGCATGAATGCGATGTAACTAGGCGCGCTGACCTCTTTCAGCGAAATGCCATGTACAGCAATGCCTGTTTTCGCGCGCGGCACCTGTAGCTCCTTGATTCCCACGTCCCGGTTCGTGCTACAATACGACGTGCATTCTGATTCCAGCAGTGAGCCCGAGCAACATCATTTCCAGCATCCCGGTCTTCTCAATAATTTAGTCAACCAAATGGCAGGTCGCTTCCCCGCATTCAGAGTCTTGTGCGCTGCGATGCAACTTAAACCCATGCCGTTCCCCTCCCCGATCGTCTCCCCCCCCCTTGCTGGAAGACGTCAGTCGCCCGCCCTGCCAGCCATCACCGTAGCATTTGACCCCTTCTACGCTTTAAAGTTCCAAATAAGGCAGCTCCGGGGGTTCGGTCCCTGTTCATGTTGGCTTTGGCCCGAGGCAGAATGGCATTCTCCAGAGAGGAAACCTTCATTTTCATGAGCCTAGTGCTACCCAATTTGACACGCCCAGTGGTCAATCGCCAGCTGGGGTAGGATCGCCCTGCTCGTTATACCTCCCAGCCCTGTCCATCAGGGGGGCACGTTGCATGAATGAGCTATGAGGTAGCACCCAGTACCCTCAGTTTGGCCGTGTCACTGGACCGGCTCAACCAAGACGATGCCCAGGAGCAGGAGCAGTAGTTGGTCTTATAAGAAACGGCTCTCTCCAGGCGGTATATCCTTGGCCCCAGGCCATCTCTCCGTGATAATTCCCGGGCCTACTTGAAACAAAGGAAACCATGAAGGCCCTCCATCTCATCCAATCACTCGTGTTGGCCTTGCTCCCATGCCGCGCCACGGCCTTCGTCTTCAACACGTTTGACGGCGAGGGCTCGCCCGCGTGCTACAACGTGACCGAGGTGCACAACGCCACCAGCGTCGAGGAGATACAGTCCCTCGTGCGCGATGCCAAGGGGAGGGGCCTGCAGGTCCGCGCCGGGGCCAAGGGCCACCATTGGTATGACACGCAGTGCTCAGACGACGAGACCGTCATCATCCGCACTGAGTTCGTGAACAATATCTGGGACTTTGACCTCGACGCTGGGTCGGTGATGATTGAGGCGGGGGTTACGTTCTTCCAGTTAGGCCAAAGCCCGGTTGAGAAGTGAGAATAAATATTCGTTGAGCTGACTGTCGCGTAGGCTCGCCGAGTATCTCCATGAGCGAGGCGCAAACATCGGTACCGGGCTCGTCAATTGGAATATTAGCATCGGGGGATGCGTGGCGGTACATGATTCCCCCTCAGACAATTTACTTGGCTCTCACTAATACTTGAACCCTTCCAGATGGGAGCCCACCGCACCTCGTTGAGAGAAGATGCAGTAGTCGTCGGAGGTGTCAAGGAGCTGGACATTATCGATGGGTCGGGAGAGATTCGACACATTGTGAAGGACGAGTCAAATGATGAGTGGCTGGCAGCATCCACATCCCTGGGACTGCTAGGCATCATTGTTCGCCTCAAGCTCTCCATCTACCCTGAGACCAAGATCAAGGCGATGCAGGAGACGTAGGTTTCCCAACATCTCACCGGGAGGAACCCATTCTAACAAGAATGCGCCCAGGCTGGAAGAGGACGAGGTCTTGAATGGCGACATTGCCGGCTTGATCTCTCCATGGGAGACCGCAAATCTCTGGGTACGTACATCCAACAAACAGCCTTGATCCCACCCACAGGATAAGATTCTAACAGCCGAATAAAAGTGGTGGCCGTACAAGAAGAAGTTCCACTGGCGCTACTACGAGTCCGTCCCTGAATCCGAGTCTGCCCAGGAGGGCTTCCAGTCCACCTTCTCCGTGACCGACGCCGAGGCGGCCGTCGCCCAGTTCCTCCTCGACAGCGGCAAGTACACGCCCACGTCCAACTGGCTCATGGAGGAGATCTTCTTCGGGCAGTGGTCCAGCCCCAACTTCCACGACAAGAACACCGACGCCGCCATCACCGAGTGGCCCGTCTACGGCTGGAACTACGACGTCCTCATCGGCGGCTTGTACCCGAACCAGCACCCCGTGTGGGAGCGCGGCCTCAAGGGGTACACGCTCGAGCTGGCGTTCCCCGTGACGCGGGCGGGCGAGATGCTGAAGCGCGTGAGGGAGCTGTGGGACGCGGAGGCGAAGAAACTAAGGATCATGAGCGCGACGTACCGGAGCGGCATCAACATCAAGTTCGCCAAGGCGCACAAGGACTTCCTGGGGCAGGTCACGACGGGGACGGCCGACGGAGAGGACTGGAGCCAGGGGACCATCATGTTTGATTTCCCCTCGTATCGGCCGACCGTTGGCGACCAGAAGCGGTACAACGAGGAGTTCTGTACGTGTCGCTCTGCTTTGCTTTGGCTTGGTTTGACATTGACCTGACTGTTGCAGATATTAACTTGGCTAATACTTTGGTGGACGAGTTCCCCTGCCGGCCACACTGGACGAAGAATACCCGCAATGTGCTGACCAGAGCAAAGAAGAACCTAGATCCCGATGTAAGTGGGAGGCAGAATATCTCATGCGCTCGCTTCAGAGTACTAACGTGCCGCAGTACCTCTCGCGCTTCAACGCCGTGCGCAAGGACTTTGATCCGGATGGACTGTACCGCAGCGTAGTGGGTGAAATACTCGGTTTCTATGATTAAGAGAGTTTAATGTTTTTGGTCAGACACGTTGCATGCCAAGTAGTGTTATCTGCCCATGAATGAAATATGGCTCAACCTTGTTGAAAGAAAGAAATAACAAGCAAACAACAAACAAGAAGAAAACGATAACGGGCGCTGCCCGCTGAATGTACACGTATCTCGAGATCCTGTTCATACCCCTCCGAAGGGTGGTGCCACACGGACACTTCTGTAACCTCATGCCCCAGTACTAATAATTGAAAACCCTCGCAACAACAAGAAAACCTTTCAACGCCATGCTACTAAACCTCAACTCCAAATCCCATCGACCAAATCCGCCCAGTTGCCGCCCCATTTACCTTTTGCGCCTAGCTGGTGCCTTGGTCTTGGTGACTCTTGACTGAGGCGTCTTCGTTGCCGGGGCCTTTGCTTTGGAAGTCTTGGCCTTGGCGGTCTTTGCCTTGGTGGTCTTGGCCTTGGCGGCGTTGGCCTTTGGAGCGTTGGCCTTGGTAGCCCTGCCCTTGGCAGTCTTTGGCTCGGGTGCCTTTTTGATGCTCTTCCAGTACTGAGCAACAACTTCGGGCGCTGTTTCCTCGACAACATTGCTCGGAACCCAGGAGTTCTCCTTAGGTTCGTAGCCCGTCCATTCGACCAAAAGTTTCTTCTTGTCGCGGCTATGATTTCGGATGGCAAAAATGTCGAAGATGTCTGCGTCGCGAGGGTTCGTCGGACGGCCGCCTTGGCTGCGCCAATACGAGAAAAGCGACTCGGGAGCATCGGAATGAAGGATAGACTCTGGCTCCCATGTCGGGGAACCACGGTACCAGCCAACCTTGAGTTCAACCTCATCGCCCACCCAACGGTGATCGAGGATTTCAGTGAAGGAATGCAGGCCATCCCCTCTGTTAATTGTGAGGTCTCCTTCGTCCTCCTCTTCTTCCCCCTCATCCTTGGCCTCGTCTTCTGCCTCGGCAGTATTCACTTCGGCGAGGTCTGACAGTTCAGTTGCGCCAGCCTCAGAAACAGGTGCGGGTGTAATTTCGGAGCCGGACTCGGTTGTAGGAACGGGGGTGGCCTCGGAGACAATCGCAGAAACGTCGTCCTGGGTCGCAACAATCTTAACTTTCGACTCGATTTTAATATCGGACTGTTTCTCGACTCGTTCATTGGATTCGTCATCGGGCTCCGACTCCTCCATACCAATGACGACGTCTTCGTCCTCTTCATCGACTGGTTGGTCAAGGGCATCGGCCATCTCTTCATCAGGGTCTTCGCTGGCGGCGGTTTCATCCTCCTGGGTCGAGTTAAGGAGCGATCGCAAATGCGCCGGTTGGGATGCAAAGGTTATGGAGTCTGCGCCATCGTCACGGGTGACGGAGACGGAGATTCCCTCGGCGATGGTTTGGTTGTGCTCGTCATCCGATGAGAGGTCATTGAGTCGGGCGGATGCTCGGGGGAATTCAGAATGGCGACGGGACACTTTAGACGGCTCCTGAGGCGACGAAAAGCGTTAGCCACAGCGACCGCAAGAGGGAGAAAGAAGCAAAGAAATGAAACAAAAAAAAGAAGAATTAAATGTCAATAAAATTTCATACCTCTTCACCCAGCTCCGGGCTGCCCAGTATGCGCGCGGGGAGGCGAGGCGCCCTAGAGGCACCCTTGCGCGAAGCTGCCCTGCCCTTCTGGCGCGGCTTTTGCACGCGGTTCAGGTGCGCTTCTATCGGCGGCGGCGACGGCGCGCGCTGTGGCTGTGCGGGTTCGGCGGGCTTCTGTGGGCTGAACATGTTGCGAAAGATATCCATAATTACGCGACTCGAAGTTCGCAGGATGGAAGTGTGCGAATTGAGTCGTGGGGT